CGTCTGCTTTTGCTGTAGTAGTTAGCGCACTCAAGCAGGCCGACATGGTGAGTAGTGCAACCACACCACAACAACTCTCACGTCCAAGCTCATTCACGGCGAGAAACACAAATACAGAACCGCCCTCTGTCGTCCAGGCATTTAGCGCTGAGGTCGCCGCTGTCGAGGCAGCTGCATCGCGCCTGTTGGAGAGCACTGCAGACTATCCCAATGATGCGTTTGTGAACGTACTGCAAACATTCTGCCAATTGCTGAAGGGCAAGACGGAAAGCCTCAGCTCCCCAATAGCTCCACCTTCGCCGCATCCGAGTGCACCATCTTCACCCCCACGAACGCCAGTTGCGAATCGAAGAACGTTCTCCGGCCTGCCTGGTATCAGTACGATTGCAGAAATGCAGCTGAGAGACTATCACTTTGTGATACCCAAGCTAGGCAATCTTGCTGAGCTTAACGTCCCTCGCTTCACCAGCGATGATGCCGATGCCAGCGGCTGGAATGTCTTGGTAGACCAACTCATATCGATCGCCACTTCGTCAGACGCGCCCAAAGAAGCTCGTGGGACTGCAACGAATGTTCTTGTCAAATTAGCAGAAGCGACGATTGTCGATGTGACTCAACAGGATCCAGAAGACCGAGCTTCTATGCAGCATCGCGCAGTCGCCATCTTGTTGCGTCTCTTGGAGCTGATCTATGCTGGAGAGCAAGATATCTCGTCCAGTGACTTGGAAGTCCAAGCCCAAGTGTTGGGCGCACTTCAGACAATTCTAGAGCGGTGTGGTGACTCGCTGGTGGCTGGTTGGGACAGCATTTTGGGCATCCTAGCCAGCGCCTTCGAGCATGACGGTCCGATCTGTCAGGATGTCGACCATGGCAAAGTGCACATTCAATGGGATGTCGTTCAGTTCGACGTGGTATCCCCTAACATCGGACGAATGTCATTCACGGCTCTCCAGCTCTTGTGTTCCGATTTCCTAGAGTCTGTGCCGCCAAGCGCCGTGGAGAGTCTGGTCGAGCTCCTCCATCGCTTCATGTGCCAGGACGAAGACCTCAATGCAGCACTGACCGCCATCACTATGACGTGGAACGTTGCAAACTACCTTTTCGGGAAGTTCTCCAAAGAAGAGCTAGCAGATTTCTGCCAGGAGGCAAGGGAGTTTGAAGACCTCACCGAGGAGTTGAAACCTATGCTTCGGCATTCGAAGCCCGCGCTCTGGCTACTTGTACTCCTGCGTCTGCGCGACGTTGCCAGCAGACCATCGAGAGAGCTTCGCAACGCGGCTTTTCAAACGATCTGCAATGTCTTCAAAAGCCATGGTGAAGACTTGCCAGCCGAGGCATGGGACCTTCTTTTACGATGCACACTCATTCATGTGTCCCGCATCGACTCGTTGCTCCATCTCGAGACCGATCACAGCAATGGGAATTCCAATGCTGAGCGCGTCACGCCAGATATCGAGTTGTCGAAGAACATCATCACGGGCAATACATCAATCATCGCCCAGCATATCCGGCTGATTGAGCAGGTGGCAAAACTACCGAGTCTCTGGGAAATGATTCTCAGCATGTTGGAACGATATCTAGATGTCGAGAATCAATTCTTGACTGCCACCGTCTGGTCGTCGCTTGCCAAAGTGCTACAGGGAATCAGTGCGGACAATAGCTTCTGGAGAGGTCCGATCTACCGCGCTGCATCGCTTTGGTCAAAGCGAGTGCCGCACTTCTCAAGCAGTGCCGGTACACGAAAAGACAGCAACCAGGATGCCTTGACTGCATATGTAGAGGCAGGCGAGGAGATCTATCGCCTCACCAAGGACGCTATGAGCTTATCGCAAACCAGATCAATGATCGATAACCTGTACACCTGCGTAAAGGAGTCAGATGGGCCACTCTATGGCGCAGACCTCAACAACGCCTCGCCCATTCAGAGCAAGACGCTCCATCTCTTCAGGAAGATGCAGTCCGAGGTGCCAAGCGCCATTCCGTGCCTCGTGACAGTCGCCTCAAAGATGAGTCAACTGCACCATGACATGACTGATGGCACGAAATCTACGCAAGGTCCCACATTCGTAGCGGTTTCTAGTGACGCCATAGCCTGGCTCCGTGATCTCCTTTGTTCCAATACCGAGGAATCGTCAGAAGGGCTCCTCCAGTCCTTGCAAGGCCTTCGCCGGATCATCCAGGCGAAGTATGCTTACAAGCTCGAGCATAAACAAGAATCACTTTGGCGCAAAGCCACGACCACAGCGCTCGCCCTGGTAGAGCTGACACTGCGCATCGAGTCAAGATTGGAGGCTTCAACATTGGAGCTTTGGAGGGAGCTGATTGGCATAGCTTCCGGCACAATCAACGCACACGGGCTTGCTACAATGATCGACGCCCATCAGAAGGTTTACGATGACCAGCTGTTTGACATTGAAAGCTTCGAAGCTCTTCGAAAGATGCTCACACCATGCCTTCAAGGTCCTGATCTGCCTACTGAGGTGCGTCTATCATACGTGCGAGCCCTGTTTGAGGCTTCCATCGTCCACCAACCAGAAAGTGGCGAGTTGCCATACCCCGCTGCACCTTTGAAAGATCTTGGCCAGATACGTCGAGGAAGAGTGAAGAAGGTGCCGTGTTCTCAGCGAGAGGACATGGCGTATGTCTGCTGGAAAGAATTGATTGCGCTTGCAAGCAGAGCGCCAGAAAACAAAAATCCTCTTGCAGAAGCTGCGACGCCATGGCTGCTGCTTCGGCTCGCCATTCCGATACGAGCTTATATTGCTGATCAACCATTGAGGGGACGACGGCCACAGCCTCTGTCGGAGCTGGAGGAGCTTCTATTCGCTTTTGAGACTATTAAAGACCTTGGGCTGCAGTCGGACCCCCGAGTTTCGAATGATGTTGCTTCTGGGGAGAAGGCTTTGTATGCGCTTCTGATTGAAGCCGTAGACACTGCCACTGACCCGTGGTCTGGAGCTGCTGAGGTATTGATACCACTTCAGGACGTACTGACTGCACTAGCGCGTAGGTAGTCAGTCGTCGAGAAGACAGACTCTCCGACCAAGGAGCTGTTCTGCCTCAGATGCTTTCTTGCCACTCAGTCTTTGTATTCCCATGAGATGCTGTGATCACCACTGACTAGTATGGTATATGCTTCGCCGTCAAACGCAACAGCACTCATCGCCAGCCACTCCGCTCCCGCAGCTTTAAGGGCGGCAAGAAATAGTCTCTGCGCAAATGCCGGATAAATGGGCCCTCGCCATCGTAGCCTAACCAGATCCTGTGTCGTCGTCTCTCCGAAAGCAGTCGGAACCTGATACCGACACAAATAAGGATCCACATCATCCCCCTTCTCAATCCTCGGCGACCCCATCATCGCCAAACCAATCCACTCCAACAATTCCGCAGCCTCCACATAATCTTCCTCTTTCACTTCTTCCGGCCAAGCAGGAACTAAAGCCTCCTTGACCTTCTCAACCGTAGCCTCCACCTGTTTAAACAAAGGCGCAAAACCTTTCATCGCTCCTCCACCTTCCAATGCCCCCGAATTCTCCAAATCCACAACCAACCACGTCTTCGTCTCATTCAACACATTCTCAAACGCCCGTTTCATCCTCTCAAACCCTTTCTTCCCATCCACCATCCTCGGACTCCGAAGATCGATCTCGATAAGATATCTTTGCTCAACATGTTTCCTCCCCCGTGACGGAATGACATTCCCTTGCAGCCCCACGCGTTCGAAGGTCGGCTTGTCGACCTCGATGGATAATTTCCCTCGGTGGAATCTATAGACCTCGTCGATCCCCGGTCGCCCTTCGGAAAGCATGGAAAGATTTGTGTTTTCCCCGCCGGGGCTTTGGATGTATTCTGTGAAGAAGTCGCCGGAGATGATGTCGAGGAGTTTCAGGTGGATTTTCGCGTAGTGGAGAAGTCCCGTTTCTTTGGCTGATGAGAGGTGTTGTTGCAGGACTTCGGCGCATGTCGCGGGCACGAGGAGTTCGAGGGTGTGGCTGTGAAGTTGGTTGAGGATGATGGAGAAGGGTTTCTTCTTTTTGGGAGGGGCGTCGTGGTTGATGTAGTTGGGGAGTTGGAGGTTGGTCACTAGACAGCGAGGCTTGGGGCCGGAGTCGTTGTCGATGCCGATGCCGAGCATTTTCGGGCAAGACAAGAGATTTTTTTTTGTTCCGCGGGATCGATCTCCAATATACGTCTTACAATTGAAAAGCGAGCCTTCTTGTTGATCAGTCCGAATGGTGGGTGGGCAGCCGCGCTGTTCTATACATATAAGCATCGGGCCGCTCCGATGCCGTGTTTTCCGTGCCTGCTTTCTTTCCTCCACGGTCCACCAACAAAGTCTGAAATCAGGAGATCATCTCAAGCCGAGGGATATTCATGGCACAGAAGACACTATAGGGTCACAAGACAAATCCAGCTTCTGCAGAGAGACAGCGACAGCCCAACAACAATTGAGACAGAATAGCAAGCACCTTTGCACAGGAAAATACAAGACTTGTACAATGTATCGAAGATATATACTCGAAAAGGCTTTTGAGCAAAAAAAATATGGGTATGGGTATCGAACAATGAATGACGCGACGCTCGCGATTTTCTCCCAAGCACACCCCATGACACGATCGATCCATACTCAATCACACACACACTATCCAATCTTCTGATCCCCATCCCAAACATCCCCGGGCTTCTCATCCACTTTCGGGGAGCTTCCATTCAAAAAGCTCAATCTCTTCCTCAAACTTCCCAAAGCAGTAGAACTTCCCAAAGCCGTAGCATCACTGCCACTTCTGTCTCTGCGCTCAGAATGATTCTGCTCCGAGTCTCTCCTGAAAAATGAAAGTCGACTAGAACTCCTCTCTCGTGTCCTACTAGCATTTCGAGACTCTGCTGGACCGGATGAATCGCCATTCACTCCATTCTCCGTACCACGTCCTTGTCTTGACGACGCTCGGCGAAGGAAGGGGATGGATCGTCGACGACCTTGACGTTTCTCATCTGCGATGCCGTTCTCATCGTTTTGAGGAGCGCCTGCGGTGGTTGCTGTCGTGTCTTCTTTGGCTGGTGCAGCTTGGATGACCTCTTCGATTGAGGCGCGAGGGGTGATGTCTTCGATGTTCGGTTTCGTGGGGAAGAGGAGGGTCAGTTCTGCTTGGAAAGTGGCTTCGAAGCGTGGGACAAGTTCTGCGCGAGTAGCTTGCAGTGCTGGACGCCTGTACAAAGCTAGACAGCGTCGGATTGCGAGGGTGTGGTCTAGGAGGGCGACTTTGAGGGCGTTTTGCATGTTGTCTAGAGGTTGGTCTTCGCGGGTGTAGATCGATGGGGTGATTTCGGATGAAGCGTTGTCGGCTAGATCGGAGATGGAAGGTAGGAGGCCACGGTATCGGGAGACAGAGCTGTCGGAGTCTGGGTCAACAGAGGACATGAGATCGTCGGTGAGTCGGCCAATGTCGGTCTCGTCGTCGCCACTTGCGATACGTTTCTCCATGGCGAGAAGTTCTTGCGTCTTACGCGTTGTGCGCTCGATGGCAGCTTCAATGGGCAGGAGCGTGACGGTCTCGATTTTGACGACTTCACTGCGTCGGAGAATGGTTGGGAACTCTTCAGCCGTAGTGTAAATCACCTTCTCCACAATTTGCTCCGTGATTGGGATGTCGTGCGCAGGATGTCGTGATGTGGTCGCGAAGCGTTGCGGATTTGAGATGAGGTTGTATTCTCGCACAGCCTGTGAGACCTTGGTGCGCTGGTAGAGCATGTGTTCAATGTCTTTGTTTGGACTCACGGCATAGATCTGGAGGAACTGTCCTTCGACATCTGCCTCGAGGCCGCCACGGAGAATGGTAGCGCTGGGGTGAAGCTGTTGCATGCGGTCTTCGAACATGGCGAGCCGGTCAGTCGGCAAACCTTCGAAGATGAAGTGCTTGTCGCGAAGGGTTGCTGGGAAGCCTAGCCCAAGATAGACCACACGGAAGTAGCGAGGATGGGTCCGTTCACCTCGCGCGATACGCTCGTGGATGCCTGCAATAGCACGCTGGGTGCGGGCGAGCTTGCCAAAGTCGAACGTATTCAGCTCGTACTCAACAGCGAGCTCGCGGTATGCGGTCAGTGCTCTCTTCCACGCCTGGCCCTTCTCGAAGTTTTGGCAAATTTGGAAGTAAAGCTGTTCCTTGCGTTCAAAAGCAGACTGCGCTGGCATCTTCGGATCTGTCATCTCAGGCAGCATATGGTTTGGATCCCATTCATATCGGTCAGCATGCATTTGCAAAGCCAAACCAGCTTCTGCAGCATTTCCAGACGTGGTTTGCATGTCGGCCAGCTGATGCACGTAGCGAATGTAAGCATCCTCGGAGTCAACATCGCGGAGGAATTCCATGAGATGCAGCGTATCGACAAGTCTTGTGGAGTCGTTCGCAGCCATGTTGCCGGTGTGCACACTCGCGAGCATGACCAGCAGATTGTCGATCTTGCCAAACATCTCGTGGACGGCATTGTATAGACTGTCCTCAGCGGTGCTGTGCAGGCCTTTGAATTGCTCCAGCATCTCCGGCACAAACGTCTTTTGCAGCACAGTCTCCGTGACACTCCTATTTCGGCAAAGCTTGTCCAAGCAGTCAATCATAGCGGTCTGGATGATGGATAGGTCTTGGTCGATTTGCCAAGCGCTTACAATCATAGATCGTAAGACCTCGATAGAGACGGCACGAAGACTCGCGTGTACACTAAGGCAGAGTTCAACGATGGGGGCGATGAGATCAGGCACGAACTGCACCTGATAGCCGCCCATGCGATCGAAGCCGTGCAGCCGCTTGGTTTCCACGTCAGTCTCCCAGCCTATTGCTTCCCAGCTGCGCTTGAGTAGATCGGCGCCAAGCTCACGGACGTCCCCTGCTATCTTCCATACCGCACGACGCTTCTGCTCCGGGAACGTTTCCATCGCGAGCGCCGGGCTTCCCAGTGCTGCAAAAAGCGTGTTGAAGTACGCTCGCCAGATGTTTGTGTCGAAGTCGAAAGCCTCGTGGGCGTCCGGTGCGTACACATCTGGAAGTGATTCAACCAATACTTCCTCAATGCGTTCGAGCGCAGTCATTCCATATTTGTGGTGTGAGACGAGCAAGCTCAGCCAACTGCGTGGAAAGGCTTCGCACGACAAGATGCTTTGTCCCACCTTCAATGCCTCGAGTAATGTCCCCGTGACATCAACCAGACTTGCATCAAAATAGAGCCTTTGCTCGGAAGTCAAGGCTGCTGCCAGAAGTGCAGAAATCTCCAACATGGCCTCATCCACGTCGATGTCGACCGTGGTGTTTTTGGTGGGAAATGGATAGCTGGTGGGAAATAACATGCTGAATACTCGCTTCGTGGGACGTGAAAGCTCCTTGAGGACACTAAAAGACTCTGCAAGCTTGGGCACGTACTGACAGCTGTCCTCTTGCAGTTGCTCCATTTGCGCCGCGACGACGGAGCAGCATAGCCGGACCTGGTCTCGCCATTGCTGGTCTGGCTCTGGCACGAATCCCCAATAGGGCTCGAGCCAATGGAATGTTTTTGCAACCAAGGAGGTTCGGGCGTCGGGCACTTTGAATATGTCGAGATGGCTGTAATTGATGATGACGATGAGTCGGTATAAAATCATCTTTCCTCTGGCATGCGAACAGGAGTCCAAGAGGTCTGTGGCAATCTCCAAGACTTCCATAGGTGACATGACCAGCGTCAATTCAGGCAACCAAGATGAGAAGCGCTGAATGAGCAGAGTCTGAGTGCCCAGTAAGATTGGCATGGGGTTTCGCAGCAAGGACATGATCGAGACAAAGAGTCTCTTCAACTCAGCCCTGACATCTGCAATCTGTTCTGGTCGCGGCATACCATTGAGCTCGATTTCTCGCTGCACTGATGGATCCTGCCTCATCACCTCCATTACCAGCTTGAGGATTTGATCGCCGACTTTGAATGTGTCTCGGAGCTTGCGCGAAGAGTCTGGATCCATGGATTTGCCAACAAGGCGTTGATAGGCGCCGATCAGGCATTTGGAAGCGTCAGGCCATGTGTGTCTGGTGGTGGCATATTGCTTGATGATGTCTCCGAGCTCAAATCTCTTGTCGCGGGCTATACGCAGGATGACGACAAAATTGTAGAAGATGATATCTTCGTACTTCTCCTGTCCCTCGTACTCGTGCAGGATTTCGAACAGTGCAGAGAAGACATCGCGAAGCAGCTTCACGATCTCAATCTCAGGCACGAAAGGAAATCTCTCCAGCAATTCAATCAGCTCTGATCCATGATAGTTCCGCCAATGGAGCACACCCAGCAACGAAGGGTCCTGAGAGTACTCTGTGCTGCACAAAAAGGTGCTGACGGTCACTACTGCTGCATTCTGCTGCACGGGGTCCTGCTTGTTGTGCCATGGCGGAAGAGCAAGGTAGGCGCCTTTGCCTCCGATGATGCTCGACGAGTACTCGTCGTAGACGTACAATGCGACGTGGTGATCACCGTCGCGCACGAACGCCTCATTTTCCCACAAGGGGATCCAGGACAAAGCGAAGGGAAAGTTGGGAGAGTCGGCGATGCTCATGACAACGTGGCTGCCGGGAAGCTCTTCCGCCGGGATGGCCAGTCGAATGGTCTGGTTCCAGGCTTCGCCGCGTTCGATGCCCGTCGTGCGCCATGCTGTGTGGCCGTGATGGTTGGCGGCAGTGAAGATGCAGCCGTCGATGCGCTCGCCGTTGGCCCTTCGTGCTTCCAACGTCAGCTGCAGATTGGCGAGGCTCGTCTGGCAGCGTTGGTTGAGTGGCACGGCGCCGAATTTGGCATGTGCCAAGGTGGCATTGCGGGGCATTCGTGGGTCCGTCAGAGTCAGGTAGATGTCGCTCCGCTTCTCGCTCGGCACTCCCGAGAAGCCAAGCTTGGGCGTCATCAAGATGTTGTGGAGCATCGTGGGGGTATTGCGGATCAGGCGCTCGAGGTCGGCAGAGGCAAAGGCTTGGACGAAGACGTCGCACCGCTTGACGGTCCTGCTCCTGACATAGCCTCCCGTCACGCTCCTTGACAGTTCTTGGATGATATGGGCCCAGTCGCTGCCCTGGTCGTTCCTGTCGGATGGCGTCCATAGCGTGACCGCGGTCTCGAAGGGGGACCGGCTCTGTGCGAGCGCGAGCGTGGTAATGTCGACCGCGCCAACCCCGACGCATCTCCGCACCATCTTCATGTCTCGAGACGCCGACGCCGGGCGCTCGGGAGGGCCATGGGCGCTTCCCTGTCGGCCCGATCGGTCGGAGTGGCCGGTCTCGGGCCGAGCACTGGCAGTGGAATCGGACCGGCCATGGTCGCTCTTGGACCTCCGTTGGCTGCCGAATACACTCCGTCGGCCCTTGGCACTACTGTTCAGGGGGTTGGGCTGGCTGTCTCCGCGACTGAGCATGGACATGGACGGCTTGTGCTTGTGCGCGTGCGCGTGCGCGTGCGCGTGGCTGGCGTGGTTGATGCCTTGGCCGTAGATGGACTGCCGCACGGGCTCGTCGCGCAGCAACTTGAACACGAGGTAGAGCGATCGTTGTTCCGCGCCCACGCCGACATCCTGCCCGCTCAGATTCACGAACAGCGTCCGTGGCTGGTCCTCCGCAGCAGTGGAAGGCGCGACCGGGACAGGCACGGAGATGGCGTAGTTCTCGCTGATGGGACGCGCCTTCTCGCCACCCTGCTTGGTGAACAGACACATGTGCAGCGTGCCGGGCTGGTCGTTGGCATGGTCGACCACCAGGTTGCGCACCTCCGCCAGCACGTGATATAGCATGTGCTTGTCGGCATTCACTTTGGGCGGCCGCTCCAGAATGCTCATGTTCGCTTGCAACTTGGTCATCTCAATCACCGAGTCATCGGCCGTCAATATGCGCCCCTTCGCGGACGCGCTTCTCACGATGACCTCGTCGCAGAGCATCTTGTTGCCGGCCACCAGATCCCACACCGTGTCCTCCCGCACATCCGCCAGCTCTTTCCGCGTGAGAACGTCGTGCATAATCAGACTCCGTGCATTGTCCACGCGCTTGATGAGACCTTCCATCGTGGCCAGTTGGCTGTAGCCGCGTGCAAGCAGCATCTCGTGCAGTCTCGCGTCGTGCCATTCCCGCAAGCACGACGCAATCTCGTCCACTAATGGCTCCTGCGCCGACTGGCCCGTCTCGTCGCCGACGCGCAGCAACGGCACGGGCGCAAGAGGCTTCGGAGCATCCGGCAGACGAGGAACAGGCTCGTCGGGCATGAGCAGCTTCGACTTTCTCTTCCTCCCACTGCGCGAGCTCTTCCGACGACTCAGTCGCCTGCTTGCTCTTCGTGCATGCATCACCTCGCTCCTCCGCCTCTCGCGCTCATCGCTTGCCTCCTCCTCCTCCTCCTCCTCATCTTCGTCTTCATCCGGTGCTTCGGGCGGCAGCTCATGGCCATCGCCGAGATATTCTCGCACTTGCACACAGTTGGCAGGAAAGATTCCCGAGAAGACGCGATGCTCGAGCTGCTGGCCGCGCTCGCTGGTCAAGCCGGCCAACAACGAGGGCGGCGCGACCAGGTATCCGCGATACCATTCGTTCGTTCGTCCGCCTTGCTCGATGATGTACACATGGTCGCCAATCTGGAGCGGGAGATCTGCTTCGGCGGTCGCGGTGAAGGGGGAGGACACGATGCCAAACGCGACGGACGGGAGAGGCTTCCAGGGCATTTCGAACGTTTTACTACCTCAATAGCGACCGTGACAGCATCGACATCATGCGTTGCGACTCGGAGGCTCCTGGCTTCTGCCTTCTGCCTTCTGAGAGAGTCGAAGGCTTCGAGAGTATTATTTAGGCGTGTCGGGCATCATGACTGTATTGACTTTGCGGTACGGTATGAAAGCGCGGGTTCCGCACGACAAACGTGCTGCCGTGTTCGTCTGGCGAGGGTATGATCTATGGACAGGGAGAGGGCTAGCATTATGGCCATGCACCAACTCCTGGCGCACGGCCTCATGGCAGCGATTATTAAGAAGCAATCGCTGCTTGCCGAGTCATGTCCACACGCGAGCCATGGCGACGGCGATGATTTAATTGGCTGAGCATCACATTGTATAGCACCACCGCCAGCCTCGCCATCCATCTGACTCGACAAGGTGAGCATTTTTGTGCCTGCGGATTCGTGAGTGATGATGATAGACGAGCTCTAGACTCCTCCACGTTGGAGTTGCTGGGGAGCTCCAGAGTCGAACTGTCGAACGACGGGAACGACTGGGGTCAGCCTGGAAACACTCCCACACAATAAGGGACTGGACTGGACGTCGCGCATCGGGTGGCTGCGAGCTGCCGATGCATCCGCACGTCACCGCATAGCATAGCATATGTAGATAGCATAGACGGCACGGCTAATGTAATCAACGGTCTTTTGCCTGTCCTATCCCCAATCTTCACCAGCTCCGAGTGGCACTTTCAATGTAACGCTCTGCACAGACTGCCACTCTCACGTTGCTGCATATATGTACGCCGAGCACAGGGTTGCCCATTTCTCCACTTCCATCCCCCCGCTTCCTCCCTACGACATTGTTGACTACTATGGCATGGCATTGGCGGCCAGGAACTGCTGTAACCTAATAATGTTGCTTTCTGAGTTTTACATCACGGCACATCTGAGACTGTTCGCGAGCAGCATAATAAACACATGCACGAGCCAAACCTGGGCTCTTCGGGTCCTAGAATGCTCCTCACAAGATGCCTTCTTTGCACTTCGTCCTGACCTTCTTGGCTCTGCTAAACAGTCTTGTGTCTTCCACCAACATTGTTTCCCTGGTCGGCAGCGACTGGACCATTAGCAATGACGCCCTCAATATCTCACTGCCAGCCAGACTGCCCAACTACGTGCAGCTGGACCTTTACGAGAACCAGGTCATAGGCGATCCGCTGTATGGTCGCAATAACTTTGCGCTGCGATGGATTGTGTGGAATAACTGGACGTATACATCGGCTCCGCTGCAAGCTCTACAATCAAATGCCAGCAGCACATGGCTTCTGTTCAACGGCTTGGATACATTTACATCCATATCTTTCTGCGGCCAGCACGTTGCCAGCACCAACAACCAATTTCGACAGTATTGGTTCGACATTTCTACTATCCTGAGCTCGTGCGCCAATGCCGTCGATCGAGTACTCTCCATCAACTTTGGTTCTGCTGCAACCATTGCCGACGCGATCGCGAACGAGCCCGGGCAGGAGGTCTGGCCAGACGGCGTGCAGAACCTGTACCAATTCTTGAATCGATGGTTCGTGCGGAAAGAGCAGAGCGATTTTGGTTGGGACTGGGGTCCAGCTTTCGTCCCTGCTGGGCCATGGCAACCTGCATGGGTTGTACAGCTTGCCAAGGAAGAGGTCAAGATCCGGAACAGCGTGGTTGATATCTATCGCGAAGGTCAGCTTAACAACTTGCCTCCTGATCAAAGTAAGAACTGGGTGGTGAACGCAAGTCTGGATTATTTCGGACAGGCGCTCAATGGAGCAACACTGGACTACAAGATTACATCTCTGGACAATACAAGCACAATCGCCAAGGGATCCCTGAACGCCATCAATGTGACCGCATCCACTGTGACAGGATCGACGACCGTCCCATCGGATGCTGTCGATCTATGGTGGCCAGTAGGCATGGGACATCAGGCTCTCTACTATATCACGATCGACCTCAAGTCTGCGAGTGGTGATACTCTGGCGACTGTATCAAAACGGGTGGGCTTCCGGACGATCGTTCAAAATGGAAATCCTGTTTCAGACGAAGAGATGGCAATGGGCATTGCTCCGGGCAACAATTGGCACTTCGAAATCAATGGTCAACCCTTTTTCGCCAAAGGCTCCAACTTCATTCCACCCGATGCATTCTGGACCCGAGTTACGCAAGCACGGATCGAACAGCTTTTCGACATGGCCATTGCTGGCAATCAGAATCTATTAAGAGTCTGGTCGAGCGGTGCATACTCGCCAGACTTCATGTACGACCTTGCGGACGAGAAAGGTTTGCTGCTCTGGTCTGAATTTGAGTTCGGTTGTGCTCTGTACCCTGTGCATCAAGAGTTCCTCGACAACGTATACGAGGAGGCAGTATATCAGGTGAGACGAACGAATCACCATCCGTCACTGACCTTCTGGGCTGGTGGCAACGAGTTGGAGAACCTGGAACTGCCGGTTGCCAACAAGTCGGCACCTGAAGAATTTCCGCGAATACAAGCAGAGTACGAGACGCTTTTCCTCCGCACCATTCTACCTGCGGTGTACGAGAATAGTAAGAGCATCAGCTACCAGCCGAGCTCTACCAGCAATGGTTGGCTGTCGTTAAACCACAGCAACCCGGCGTTTCCCATGATACAGCGCTATAACAACAAGACAGAGGGTGCGGTCTATGGAGAGACCGACTATTACAACTACAGGCCTTGGTTCCTTGGTAATACGAGTTCTTACCCTGTCGGCCGTTTCTCGAATGAGTTCGGATATCATTCGATGCCCTCGCTGCAGAGCTGGAAACAGCAGATCTCCGAGAAAGACCTCCATTTCAACAGCACCACCATCCTTCTTCGAAACCAGCACAATCCTCCTGGAAACCTCAGCATCAAGAGCTTCGGCAATTCAGAGACCGGACAGTACCAGATGACGCAGGCCATCGAATACTGGTACCCTATTCCGAAGAAGACCGAGTCGGTGGCAAACTTCTCTGCATGGTGTCATGCAACTCAGATCTTCCAGGCTGAGTTCTACAAGAGTCAGATCGAATTCTATCGTAGAGGCTCTGGGTTGCCCAACAGATGCCTTGGCAGTCTCTACTGGCAACTCGAAGATATCTGGGTCGCACCGACGTGGGCTGGCATCGAATACGACGGACGGTGGAAGGTTCTCCATTACACTGCCAAAGACATTTACGAGCATGTCATCATCGCTCCGTACTTCAATGTTACGACGGGCAACCTCTCGATATGGGCCACGTCTGATTTGTGGAAAGAAGTCAGTGGGACGGCGACACTGCAATGGTACGATTGGGGCGGTGCCGAGCTCGACACCGGCATGAGCAAGTCCGTTGATGTCAAGATCGGCGCGATTAATAGCACTGAAGTCTGGCACGGCTTCACCACTGACCTCCTCAAGAATCACGATGCCAATAATGCTGTCTTGCAGCTTTCCATTGAAGTCACCGGCCAGTTGCCCAACGAAAACTTCACGCGTACCTTCCGTCACGAGAACTGGTTCCATCCGGCTCCTCTCAAGGACGCCAAGCTGGCAGACCCGGGGTTGCAGGTCAGGCACGACGCGCACAGCAAGAATTTCACGGTCTCGGCATCGAAAGGCGTTGCGGCTTGGGTTTGGTTGGACTATGGCGAAGGTGCGGTCGTGAGCTTTGAGAGTAATGGATTCTGGCTCTTGCCGAATGGTTCGAGGCAAGTCGCGTATAGTGTGTGGAAGGATGATACCAATGGGAAATGGATGGACACGGTGACGGTGGAGAGTATGTGGAATCAGACGTTGCAGGATTGAGAGAAGCGTCTGCTCCAATCTCGGTAGATCTGGCGGGAAGCGGACCGAGGAGTCAGCTTAGCTTAGCTTAGCTAGTCTCATTAATAGCATTTTATTGTATAGACGGTACTTATCCGCGTATATCCGATTGGACTTGCCTCGATATCCGGCAGCGGGTGCGGACCGAAGCACCCACCGTAGATCGCCTAGTCGAACACTACTGATGCGGGAAACACTCTCAACCCTTTCGGGTCGTGCTGCTCTTGATCTCGCCTCGCCTCCAGAAGCGAGCCTGGCACGCCGTACGCCGCACGCTCGCCTGGACGGACCAGCCAGTGATCTACTGTATTCTAATTTATCCGGACCGGACTTGGCGTTGTCGGAAAATTTCCCGCAAGCCATGATTTATACAGCCAGAATCTGCCGAGGAGGTGCTGCGATTCAAGCTTCTATAGTAGCTCCAAAGCTGCAGCTGCTGGTCACTAGCCCTACGGTAGAGAGACGTCCGGGCGCGTTCAGCTCTCCGTGCGGGCTATCAAGGTACTACTGTACGCAGGTGAGGAGACGCACCAATGCATTGGAAATATAATAAGCATCTATACAGTAAGCGCCGCACCCATGGCCAGCCAGCGAAGAGATCTCGGCTGCCAGAGAGCGCGAACAGATGTCGAAGGATTTCATGCATGAGCACTAGGGATGATCACTCAGCCCCAGCGTAGACTACTGTATGCACTGTACAGTATCAACATCGAACCGGCGGGAGTTCTAATATCATAGTGCCCAACCCCGTTCGAAGCACGACCTCAGTACCTCTCTTGCAGCTCCCTTCATCTGCCCGCGGTCCGCTCCGTGATCTGTATTCCACCACAGATGGAACCCGCAGTGGTGAGGCTGCTCGTGCTCGCGCTATGTCTCTCTTTGAGTCGGGCAGATTCACTGCTCAAGGGCGACAACGGAACCGCAGTGCCAATATGGGCACTTTCTGCCAGCATAGCGGGAGGTAAATCAACCATTTGCAACAAGACCTTTGCCGATGCCAATGGAACTGGAATCATCAACTTCAATCCGAATGTCGCGCAAGGTCCACAGGCAGGGCAGCCTGACAATCTTTCGGGGAGCACACTCCCTTCCATGTTCGCGGTAACGGTGGCGAATCCTGGCTTCACGAATCCTTCGAACGACTCCTCCTCATACACTTTGTGGTACAATACCAACGGGGCCAACTACTCCAATGTAAGTAGGGTCCAATCATCTCAGGTGTCTCAGTATGTATCGCTGACTTTACTCTGCTCCTGCTTAGGACTATGCATTGGGATATGATGTGTGCGCCATAGCTGGACTCTCATTGAACTACAACACACAGCTGCGAGGGCAGACAGACAATGGCAGCTGTTTGTCTACACTCGACCAGCCTTGTATCTCTGCAATCAAGGCTTTCGCCGCACAACAAGCCGCATGGTTGACAACCCCATCACCAGGACCAGACAGCAACCTCACCAATACTTCGCTCCCGGGAATCTGCCGTACTCTGGCCACTGAGATTTCCAACAACCTTCCACAGGAATGCTCATACTTCTTCCAGAACAGTGCGGCGGCCATTGGCTGGCCTTTGACGTCCTATGGCGACTCATACGATACAGCACTGTTCCCGGATTGTACCCTCAACGGCACATGGAACAACATGCTCGGCATATTCAATAACGCTTCAGAGGCTGTGTATGACGCTTGGTTTCAAGCAGTCACGCCTGTAATCGCCATTTGGATGCCTGTTGCTTCCTACTCTAACCAAGGAGCGCAGGTGACGATTGCTGAGACAGTAGCTGAATTGGCTTGTGGACATATTGACACTGTCGTAGACGGCAGCTACGAGCCTCCCGCTGCCCCTTCTCCTACACCCGTAGCATACAATTCGACTTCCAACTCGAACAACAGCACATCCAATGCGACCAACGCCACAACTTCATCGAACAATGAAGACGACGGTCTATCAGGAGGAGCAATAGGAGGAATCGTAGTCGGTGTAGTTCTTGGCATTGCGTTGATACTAGGGCTTGCATGGCTTTGGCGGAGACAGACGAAGAGAAAACGAAAGACTACTGCCGAGTTGTCTGCAACAGAGATTTCTGACGAACAGAGGCGACACGAGCTTGGAGGAGCTGCCAAGGGAGAATTACCGGGGGAGGGACCGAAAGAGAAATATGGAAGACAGGTTTCGGAGCTGGATGGACAGAAGCCTGGCGAGCTTGAGGGCAGTCAGGGTCGGGGTCCAGTCGAACTACCGACGTAATGAGTCTGCTTTGATAGAAATTTTCTACACTAATGATGGCATCAACGACCTCGAAGCGTGGGTGGGAGATTTTCACGAGAAAGCCAGCCAACTTTTTGACGAACCTCGCAGATATACTGACAGACATATCATCCGCTGGCTGACTTCACGGTAGACATGCCATTTGTCCTCCTCGCAAGGCATGCAAATCGCTGTCTCACCAAGCAGGCAGGGAATGACACGTTGAGAGGTCGGAAAACGGGATGCTCGCGAAGGCGGGAGGTGACTGCTGTGAAGAACTTCAAGGACACTCCATCCACTTCCATTTCCGCAAAAAAAGCACTGCCTTGAGTGCGACCGTACCTCGCATATACCTCAAAAATCCCCAAGTCAGTCACTCAGTCACTCAGTCAGCCAGCCTAATGAACCACCACACACACACACACACACACCCCACAATCACGTGCCAAAAGGAACCAAATTTTTCCCCCTGGCCCCTTTCACTTTAAAAAGTTTTCGGAAATGAAACCGGCCCGGGGGGGGGGGGGGGGGGTGTCATTCGAAACACATACACATCCGCATCAAGTCACTTCATAAACCCATAACCACCTGCTCCAACACCGCCTGCCATGTCACAGAAAGTACACAAAAAGAAAATTTGTAAAAGCAGTAGGTATGTAGTCATGACATCCATCCATCCATCCCTTCGTCCCGTCCTCTAAAAAGAAAATGTCTTCATCCGCGGGCTTCACCTCCACCAAAGGACCTACAAATCCTTATCCTCCTCCTCCTCCTCCCTACCATAACGCTCGTCCTGGTGCTCATACTCATGCTCGTCACCATCATCATCACGATCCACGACACGTACATTTTGCAGAAGATTTGACGCCATCGGCTTTGACGCTGCGGATCAAGTTGGGACCGAATACTCGTCCGACAGCAATCATCAAGATCAGCATCTACTTTGAGGCAGGTCTCTTGCCGAGGATCCGGGTCAAGACCAAAAGGCCCAAGGACAGGAGGAGAAGGCGGGTCTATGTTGACGAGACTCCACTGAGATATTGAGGAGCTGGAAACACCAATTTTACGCATTCGAAATCGTTCATCATGGGTATCAGCTTGTCGTCATTCCTGTCGATCCAGCACGAGTTCAACTCCTGCCTCCATATTGCAAAGCACACCACCATCAATTCACAGCCAAGGTCAACTCCGACATCGCCTTTAACTCATCGGCCTGTGGCACCATCGGTTCTAGGATCCGCGCCACCGTTGGCTGGCTCGTCCGTGGCTGCACCAGTCAAGTAGTCGGCTCGTTCGGCTTCTTCGTACTCGTTTATCAGATCCATCACGATTTCTCGCGACGTGTCAAACTCTGCGAAACCATCTCGGAAAGGCTCGTGACGCTTGTATTGCTCGAGGAAGGCGTTGCGCTTCCTTAATCTATCGTACTGGAAGACGATGCGCTTAAACAAGGTTGCAATTCCGGTATGGTTGGCGAGCATGAGACCTGATACACGAGGCGGCGCACGTGTTGTGTAAGGTGGCTGTGTGTAAGGAGAAGTTCTGGTCAGGGCAACTTGGATGCTCGCTGGTCCCCACGGGATGAAAGATGCAAGGTTCCTTTCTCGGATGCGGAGCAGCGATTTGTGTACCTGGGCCATGTCAATCGTAATTCAGCTGTCGCAAACATAGAGTGGCTTACATCTGTCGGGTCTGCTTCGCCCATGATGATGTTCAGGATGGAAATGTAGCAGCTATTCTTGCTGGGTTTGGCAGATACCATCTGGTTCTTAGGTTGCAGGAGACGTCGCATGACATCCAATACAGTGGTCTTCCGCACTGTTCGTGCAGCTTCCACATTGTCGCCTGTGAAGGGGGTGTAGCTCGTCTGCAGGAAGTGGCATCTCGGAGTCGGTATCAGACTTGCCACAATGCCAACGAGGTCGTTATGCATGTACCCAGGATATCGCAAGGTTGTGGTCGCTGCAGACATGACAGTGCTGACTAACTGGTTAGTTTGCTCGAAAGACGGCTCTTGGACGTGGAGCGTATCTGCTGCTATGCGCGATAAAGCGCCATTATCCAGAACAGTCACAGCGTCGGCGTTCTGAGTCAATCTTCGCAAGGCGAGCAGGGAGTTGTACGGTTGGACAACGACATCGCCGGCATTCTGCGTATCAGGGAAGACAGAGTAGGTTTGAATCAATTTCTTCGGGAAGCGGTCGTTGAGTCGCTCCAGGAGGAAAGAGCCAAGGCCTGATCCTGTACCGCCTGCGATGGAGTGCAGCAACATGAAGCCCTGTCCACTGTCAGTAGACTGACACTTGATACCGCGAACTTGAACAGTCGCACCTCAAGGCTGTCGCTTCCATCTGCTTCGCGATCAATCATGTCCAGCACTTCATCTTGCACCTGCCCTCCCATATCATACCCTGCAGCCCAGTTATTGCCCGCACCTGTGCCCTCTTTGTGAATGTAGAAGTTCTCCGGGTTGTAGATGTTCTTATATGGCCCAGTCTGAATGCCGTTGATCACTCTCGGTTCCAAATCAAGGAGGATCGCTCGCGGTATGTAGCGTGTATCGTCGGACTGGTAGAAGAATACATCTTTGCGGTCACCGCCTTCGGTCGCGAAATCTGCAAGGTTTCCATTCTGATCGATGCCATGCTCGAGGCATAGTTGTCGCCAGAATTGGGAGCCGACTAGTAGTCGTTGTTAGTATGCGATTCGCTTCGACTGCGCGTTGGAGCGTTACACACCGCTGTTGCCGCACTGGCCTGCTTGGAGCGTGATGATTTCACTGTCGCCACATTCGTCAGCAAACCATAGTCAGTGAGACGTGCACGAGAGCATACCGCGGCATCGTATGGACAGATCATGCGCGGTGCGCGAGATGTTTCTCGAGGAAAGTCAAATGGTCAGGGACGACGCGATCGATGGAGGGGCACGCGCGTTTCTGCCAAGCCCCCTGGCCTGGCCTTCGCTTCGCTCCGCTTTCACATGTTGTTGCTCGTACGTACTCTTCATCATCATATACACAAATGCTAATGTACTTTTGCATGCCCTCCCAGCGCCTGCGCTTGCTGTATGTATACAATCTATGCTCTCTTCGGAATCTTCTCTATCAGAGTCGTGCTCGAATTCGAATTCAGCCTCCTTCGGAACAGCCAGAATAACGCTTGGATCACGATATATATACGCATGATATCCACCAAAGATCGGAAGCCCACAGGTATCGTAGGCTCCTTGCTGTACTCATCAAACTTGTCGCAAACATCCAGAAACATGGGCGGATCGTCTGTGATGACTCCATCGAGTTTCCTTCGGATGCACCATTCCATTCGATCTCTCGCGTTCACAGTCCAGGCCATTGTCTGTCGATGATGCTTCTGCTGGCAATCTTCAACGAAACCCCTTCCACCAGGCGCCATCAGGATAGGCCAAAGCATGCTGAAGCCAACATTTGGGCTAGAGAAGAAATGCCGCGCATAGGATATTTTGAAGCCAATATGGACAACTGAAAAGCCAGGCAGATAGCGTGCTGCTAGAGGAAGGTATTTGGCTGCCCACAAGCCCAGAACGATTCGCTCACTCCATGGCTTCCCTTGCGACGGCGGAGCTTCCTCGATAGTTGAGCCAATGAGTCTCATAATGTCGTCTGCATTGTTATCGAGCTTGATATCAAGGCAGATCCAGATCTCCTCCATACCAGGTTGGGCCAAGCAGTGCAAAAGGTCTTTTAATCTCGGCATTGGCACATGTGGTGCTGCCAGCGTTCTAAGGTCTTTGATCTCGTCCCAGTTCGTGTCGAGGATCTTTTCATTCTTGCCGAAACAGCGCTTCAAGGTAGCATCATGGCTCAAAACGACAACATCGTCCTTTGTGAGATGCATGTCTGTCTCGATTGCATGTGCACCTGCTTCGATGGCCCTCTCAAACGACAGAATCGTATTTTCCGGCCACTTTGCCTTGTAACCGCGATGCGCTATGCATTGTGGCATTTGACGCTTGCGCTTGTCTGTTTTGGCCATTGCGAAGCTGGAAATGGGGAAGAGTGTATCGTCGGTCAATGTCACTGGAGAGTCGAGTTTCTCTACACCTGGCTGAACCACCACAGGAGGAATCAGCCCTGGCGGAGGTGTTGGCGACGGTGCCGCCTTAGATTCGCGAGCCGCCATGTTGCTAATGATGACTGGACGCCTCCGTAGCAGGGCCGTGATGCGGACGAGCAGTAGCAGTAGCCGGTGCTGTCTCCGAGCGGCGTTGCCCACCGTTAAGACAGCATCTCGGACGCCTGGCGAAATGGCTGCTAAGGCGTGGCCGCGAGCGAAAGGAAAGTCATGGGGTGAGTATGGTAGGAGATGATGCAGGTTCTTGAGGTATCATCACACCCATTCGGCCTGGCGAGTGTCCGAGGTGAGGTGGCGCCTTCGTTCCGTTGCAAACAACAAGCCATGCAGCAGGTGCAAGCCACGCTGTCCTTTTAAGCTCACACCAATCCTCTTGAAGGATCGGCTTCCCTCGTTTGGCGGGCCGTGATGCAGGAGCGCGCTTCTGACAAGTCGTCGACCGCAAAGGGCAAAGCTTAATAAAGAGCTTGCAGATGTTTCGAAGGGGCTTCGTTGATGAGACGAAGAGCTGGCACATGTGTATCGATAAGCTGCTCGAGTCTCTCGTATGACCGGGGCCGGGGCCGAGCTCGTCGTCCAGGATACTGCCTCCGATCACACGCCATTTGTGCGATTATTAGTTCTCCCAGGGTAACGATTATGCTTACTAGTGAAGCGTGAATTTAGCCTTGTGATTCGTCTTCTGCGCCGCGTGACAACAAGCTTCTCGGACTTTATCTAGCCGTACGCCGACGCCGTATACCAGAGAAACCGTATACTGTATACAGTGTGTACCGAATGTCTACCTCGCAGCTTTCACGATGCTCCAACAATGTAGGGAAGTGACAATAGCATTTCTGGATGCCAACGGCACTAGTACAAGGCCAAGCCCAAGCCGATGAGCTTGACACAGCTCTCACGTGCAAGCCACGCAGGATGAGCTTCGTCATCTTGCATTCACGTTGGACGACGTAGAGGGACAGCAGATCTACTCTCAATATGGCAACTGCGATGGTGCAGACAAGTTTTGGGGTAGGAACAGAAAGCATGTCAGGAAACTGCGCCTCGTGGCATCAGCTATAAGTACGGGTGTCACAATGGCAATCATCCCATCACAATAGCAATCATCCCATCACCTTGAGAGAAGCATCCCATTCGACCTAACTTCTAAGAAACACAGTCAGGCATTTCTCAAACAACAGTCGAAGCGCATCAAGACGTACGGCCCAAGATGACGACAATTGTGACTCCGGTCCTCGCGCCATTCCAACCACCACTCGGCCCACAGCCAGCGAGTCCCATCCTCTACAGCGCCGAGCAAGTCGTGCTGCGCATGAAAGAGAAAGTATGGTCACTGAGCGGCGATGACTTTACTGTACAGACAGTGGAAGGCGCGCATATAATGAAAGTCAAGGGGAAGCTCGTATCCCTCCACAACAAAAAGAAGTTCGTGGTAGGTACACATATGCCCTCCAAGTCCGAATGCCTTGCTGAATCAACGACAGGACATGCAAAACAACGAGATCTTTACACTCTCCGAGAAGAAGTTGAAGCTCAACAAGACCTTTCACGGCGAGGCACCTGGGGCCCACAACTTTGAAATCAAAGGACATTTCTCTCTTGGCTCGAGCAAGAGTACTGTGGAGTTTGTCAACAACACAGACCGCACCACCGTGGAGCTACACGTCAAAGGAGACTGGTTCGACCGTACTGCTAACATCACTCTTGGTGATCGTGTCGTTGCGCAGATCAGCCGGAGCTTCTTCAATGCGAGAGAGGTGCTGGGCGACAAGCAGACCGTAAGTACGACTTGGATATTGCTTCGAGCGTGCACTGACATTGGACAGTACTTCGTGACTGTGGCACCAAATGTGGATCTCAGTTTGATAGCAGCAATCTGTGTCTGCCTTGATGAGCGCGAGAATGAGTCCTAGGGAAGAATGACGTCGTGGACGATAGTGGTGATCATGGTTTTGATACAGCCTGGTAATTCGATGACCAGTCAATACCTATGTAAATGACACTGCTTATCCTGCAATCCCGCTCCAACGCATGAAACTCAGCGAGTGGATCCTCTTGAGTACCAGATGCAATTTGTAACAAGCGACGTTTCAGTGATGAAAGGGAAACTGAAGTTAATGAGGGAAAGGCGACCAGTCGGAATGTTGTCCTATCTGAGCTATAAAGTATCAGTCAAGATGATAGCTAAACGAATGCAGAAGTGTCTTACCTATATTCGAACCAGGTCTACCGTAGCATAAGGGATCGGTGCTTGCGACTACAACAGCATACTCATAGTTCACGAGTATGTCGTCAGTCCAAGTCCGTCTCCCACTCCGTCTCAGTCTCCCGCTCCGTCTCAGTCTCCCGCTCCGTCTCCGTCCCTACTCTAAACAACCCGTTGCGAAACATGGACTCAAGGGCTGTTCTCAACGGGATACGACCGTTGGCAAACAATTGTCTGCGGATGAAGCGGATCCGCAAATACTGCGCCTGATCCCGCCCGGGGTCAAAATTCTCGATGGGAGCGTCGAGCACGACTCAGTGGCGAAATCAATATCGAGACTGATGTCTAATTCCAGCGTGAGGTCGTCAGCTTGCAGAAATCCTGTGTTCACACCGGCTTCTGAGAAAGCTTTGACACTGGGGCCGATGTTTAGATAGAGAAACCAGGGTCGAGATCCGGCACGCCGCTCCGATATGAAGCTGAAGGACGGATAGAGCACCATGGCCTCCTCCTCTCCTGGCTCAAAATCATCGTCAGCGCCCTCTGAGAGATCGTCGTCGTCGTCGTCGTCGTCGACGGGTTGTCCGTACATGCCGACAGTCGGCATAGACAGATTGGCCATAGCTTGGTCCCGGGAGGCCATCAATGCTCTTTTGCCACTGACCTCAAAACCAGCGACTGCCGGTGAGTTGAAGTAGGCACGAATCTGGCCCTCCAACAGCGATATCTGGGCGGCAGACGTCTCAGATTGCTGTCGGAATGGAGCAAGTCCGACAAATCGCGCCTCAAGTCCATCTTCACTGAAGTCAGCTATGAACTCGACATCCTCTGGCATGCGAGCGACCCAGGGAATGTTTGCGATCGAGAGCTGTAGTCTGTAAGCCATCGCCTCCCCGAAGGTCGGTACGAATATGGGGGCGGCAATGAACATTCTCCTTGGGCGTCCTTCGACGCTCTCCATTAGCCGTTGGAGAGGTATTCCATTAATGAACCTTGTAGGAGATCCATCAAATCTGGTAGTACCTGATTACAGCGCGACTTGCGTAGCACTGGACTGCCAGAATGCATAATAAGGACATACTGTGGGCGGTATTGCCAGTCGATCGAGGCTCGCATGGCCGTTTTGAACCCATGCCCGCTAGCCATCGGAAAAACTATCCGCCGACTACAGATATCTCGGACCTCTTCTCTCGAAGTTTGAAAGCCGCAACAACAATACGCCTAGAGCATGCTCCTCGTCGCAATCAAGCACAGCGATACGCTCAACGTAATCGCGATGCATCACGCGATGATGGAAGCTGCGGAAGCGGTGAGCTGGCAAGACAATAAGCCCAATCTCCTCCTGTCCCATTTCTCTTCCTTTCATTCCACTTTCTCCTGTTTGCTCTCTTCCTCTTCTTGGAGATTTCAGGCGGCTGTACATAACACAAGTCCTGTCAGCCTACGCTCACTCTGCCACAGATCCGCCCAACCACCCGTTCGCACAGTGAGTTGTTTCCTTTCGATTCACCTTGCTGTCTGCGTCCGTTGCACTGCTACACACGCACGATTGACGCAGTCCGACTTCACGAAATTGAGCTCAGAACTCCACTGCACGCTGCCCTCACTGACTAGTAATGCAGCTGATCCATCACCATGGCACCTCATGCCAACGACTCCGAAGGCTATGCCACTGGCCTAACCGCTGCCGAGATTGGTGTTGCGGTTCCACCTTCGGCAGAGTTCACAGTTGACGCTTCAAACGTCAGCTACAGTGATGTGGACATTCAGAGCAAGTACCGCTACCACACCACCCAGGTCAAGCGTGTCGACGGCAAATTCGTGGCAAAGCCGCGCGAGTCCGTCTATGACTTCAAGACACAACGCCACGTTGGCAAGGTCGGTGTCATGCTTGTCGGACTCGGCGGCAACAACGGCACCACTGTTACTGCTGGCATCATTGCCAACCGCCGCAAGCTCATTTGGGAGACCCGTGAAGGTCCACGTGCAGCCAACTATTACGGCTCTGTGGTCATGTCCTCTACCACCAAGCTCGGCATTGACGAAGAGACTGGTGGCGATGTCAACATCCCACTGCAGAAGATGCTCCCAATGGTCCACCCAGACGACCTCGTCATCGGCGGCTGGGACATTAGTGGCATGGACCTTGCCGCAGCTATGGACCGTGCCCAAGTCCTGGAGCCAACTCTCAAGCAACTCGTCAAGAAAGAAATGTCAAACATGAAGCCTCTGCCCAGTATCTACTACCCAGACTTCATCGCCGCCAACCAAGAAGACCGAGCCGACAACATCATCCCGGGAGACAAAGCCTGTAACGAACACGTCGAGCACATCCGCAAAGACATCCGTGACTTCAAGTCCACCAACAACCTCGACAAAGCCATTGTCCTTTGGACCGCAAACACGGAGCGCTACGCCGACATCATCCCCGGCGTAAACGACACCTCCAAGAACCTTCTTGACTCCATCGCATCTGGCCACTCTGAGATCTCTCCATCAACAGTCTTCGCAGTGGCCTGCATCCTCGAAAACGCCCCCTTCATCAACGGCTCACCCCAAAACACTTTCGTCCCAGGCTGCATAGCCCTAGCCTCCGAGCACAACGCCTTCATCGGCGGCGACGACTTCAAATCCGGACAGACGAAAATGAAATCCGCCCTCGTCGACTTCCTCATCAATGCCGGTATCAAGCTCACATCCATAGCTTCCTACAACCACCTCGGCAACAACGACGGCAAAAACCTCTCCTCCCAAAAACAGTTCCGATCAAAAGAGATCTCGAAATCCAACGTCGTCGACGACATGGTCGCCGCCAACAATGTTCTCTACGCCAAAGACGAACATCCAGACCACACCGTCGTCATCAAATACATGCCTGCCGTCGGCGACAACAAACGCGCCTTGGATGAATACTACGCCGAGATTTTCCTCGGTGGACACCAAACCATCAGCATCTTCAACGTTTGCGAAGACTCGCTTTTGGCTTCACCTCTCATCATCGATTTGGTTCTGATCACGGACTTGATGACCAGGATCCAATGGCGACATGAGGGCGAGACTGATTACAAGAATTTTCACTCGGTCTTGAGTGTTTTGAGTTATATGTTGAAAGCTCCGATGACTCCGGCGGGAACCCCGGTTGTGAATGCTTTGGGGAAACAGAGGAGTGCGCTGATTAATATTTTGAGGGCTTGTGTTGGACTTGAGCCGGAGAATGATATGACTTTGGAACATAAGTTGTTCTAGATTGATGGTGTGAATGGGATGGTGGTGAAGATGGGTTCGAAATTATAGAGGAAAGATTGTGAAGGGAAGTTTGTTCGGGTTTAATGTTGAGTCTCATTTCGCATGGTCTAGTTAATAGAAGGTAGTAGCATAGTGGTGTCTCATGAGATGTCAACGTTCATTTGATTTTCGTCCTCGAGTGTGATACAGCCTGAGTGAGGTGGAATTATTTCCATTATAATACATCTGCGAGTGGGGCTGCCCATCATAATGCTACATATCTACAAAAAGCGCTTTCACAATGCCGCTGAATATCAACGTATTCATTTGGTATCATCATTCGTCAAAGTGCTCCGATAACTCCAAGTCATCTCTCTACGCCTCTGACGGAGCAACGATGTCAAGGTGCTCGCCACCATCCCTGATGACAACCTTCGCTACATCACCGCTCTTAATCGTACCTCGAATAATCTTGTCTGCGAGACTGTTGCCGACCTCTTTCGAAATCAGTCGATTGAGCGGTCGAGCACCATACCGTGGATCATAGCCCTTTTCGCAAAGCCATGTCTTTACATCATCGCTGACTTCGAGCGAGATGCGTCGATCATCCAGTCTTGCCTGCAGTTCTTTTAATCTGATGTCGACAATATCGCGGAGCGCCTCTTTGGATAGACGTTTGAAGATGATGAACTCGTCTATTCGATTGAGGAACTCAGGCGGGTATGACATCTGGACCACATCCATGACCTGCTTCTTGACGTCTTGGCTGATCTCGCTTCCGGAGCTTTCATCCGCGACCAAAGCTTCGGCTCCGAGGTTAGACGTGAGGACGATGATAGTGTTGCGGAAGTCGACTTTGTGGCCTTGAGCGTCGGTGAGCTTGCCTTCGTCTAATACTTGGAGCAAGAGTGTGCTGATGTCTCGATGCGCCTTTTCGAATTCATCGAAGAGAAGAACGGAGTATGGCTTGCGACGAACGGCTTCAGTAAGCTGGCCAGCATCTTCGTAACCAACATAACCGGCCGGGCTGCCAATGAGACGACTGACGGTATGCTTTTCTTGGAACTCAGACATGTCAAAGCGAACGACTGCTGACTCGGTCGAGAAGAGAAAGTTGGCCATCTTCTTGCAGAGCTCCGTCTTGCCAACGCCAGTAGGTCCGAGGAACATGAAGGAGGCAAGTGGCCTGTTCTCTCCGCTCAGACCTGCTCGTTGCATTCTTACAGCATTGGCTACAGCTGTCAAAGCCTCGTCTTGGCCTCGGACTGACTTGCGAAGCGTGTCTTCCATGTGGATGAGCTTCTCGATTTCGCCGCTCATCAACTTGGTCACAGGAATGCCGGTAGCCTTAGCCACAACGGCAGCGATGTCGTCCGCAGTGACCGAATCATGGATAAGTGCATCGCTTTTTGCCTTCGATTCACCACCCTGGTCTTCTGGTAGCTTTTTCTGAAGCTCAGGAATGCGAGCGTAACGAAGCTCGCTAGCCTTGGCAAAATTGCCTTCTCGCTGGGCCTGTTCGAGCTCAACGCGTGCGCGTTCCAATTCCTCTTTCGTGCGCTTGATCTCTTCAATCTCAGCCCGCTCTTTCTCCCACTTCTCCATCAATGCGCCGACCTCATCTTGCTTGAGCGTCAACGTCTTCTCGAGTTGCTCTCGTCGCTCTTTGCTAGCAATGTCGCTTTCTTTTCGTAATGATTCCAGCTCAATCTGTATCGTCATGATCTGTCGGTCAAGCTCTTGAATAGCGTCCGGCTTGCTTTCTTGCTGTAGTCTTAGAGCAGATGCCGCTTCGTCCACCAGATCGATGGCCTTGTCGGGCAGGAACCGATCGGTAATGTATCGATTGCTGTACGCAGCGGCGGCAACGAGTGCACCATCCGTGATTCTGACTCCATGATGCACTTCGTATCGATCTTTGATACCTCGTAGAATCGAGACGGTGTCCTGTACTGTAGGCTCTCCCACCAAGATAGGCTGAAAGCGTCGAGCCAATGCAACATCTTTCTCGATTTGACGGTACTCAGTCAATGTTGTTGCTCCACAGCATTGCAGCTCTCCTCTCGACAATGCCGGCTTCAAGAGATTGCTGGCATCAATACTGCCTTCAGCCTTGCCCAGGCCGAGCAGTGTATGAAGCTCGTCAACGAACAGGATGACGCCACCTTTCGCATCGCCAACTTCCTTCAAGACAGCCTTCAATCTTTCTTCGAAGTCACCTCGAAATTTGGCGCCTGCTATGAGGCTACCGAGATCGAGCGAAATGACTCTCTTGTCTTTGATACTCTCTGGCACATCGCCCTGCACTATCCGCTGGGCAAGACCTTCCAGGATCGCAGTCTTGCCAGTACCGGCTTGACCAATGAGTACCGGGTTATTCTTCGTTCTTCTTGACAATATTTGTATCGTTCGATGTATCTCTGCATCCCTCCCGATGACTGGGTCGAGTTTCCCCTCTCTTGCTTTAGCAGTCAAATCGACACCATATTGCTCAAGGGCCGGTTTCTCCGGTTCGCCTCCAAGGTTCATTCGATGTGTACCACCTGGAGGATGTGGCTTTCCACTGGCGTAAGCTCGACATTGTGATATCGATGTGGGGGCTGCTCTTGCTATCGTGGGAAGCAGTCTTGATCGTTCGATATGTGTTGCAGCTCGTAATGCGTTTTGTGGTAGAGGGTATCGTACTGAGGCGATGCGCCTGGCAGCGCTTCTTCCTGTAGCAGGTATCATTATGCAACGCGATGAATGAGTGTGAGACCGAAATTGATGAAAGGACAATTGAGCAAGCTACCTTGACTACAGAAGAGAAGCATTAGATACTATGCATATATCGACGAACAGCTCACGAGATGGTGGAAGCCAGAGAACCGACGAGTAGCTTCGAAGCTTCGAAGCAAATCCTAGTCGCACGCACCCTGTTTGGGCCTAGCGTTTCCGTCTGCCAGCGGAGACTAGTCTGAATCAGAATGTGAGCAAGTCCCCTCGCCAGAGAAGCATACAAATTTCAACAACACCACAACTTCAGCAGCTTTTGGACTACACCAGTCAATTCTACAACAAAACACAGGTTGCACCACAGATCCAGAGTCGCACGCATACACGATGGGTTTCACCGACTTCGTCTCCGACGCAGGCCTCACCAGTACGTCGTCGCTGCGACACCACCGCCTCCTGTTCGTGAGCTAAGATTTACACAGTCCTTGACAACTGGGTCAAGACTCGCTCATACATTATCGGGTGCGTTGCCTACTCCTTCCTCAATGCTTTCCCCCTCATGCCTTTCATGATGAACCCAATTTGGTCCGTGTTATTGAGCAGCTTAAGACCCTGCGAATGAAACCTTCCAAAGCGCTTGTCGCACCTCTGATTTTTGCCGCAACAAACACAGTCATTCTCCATTGACCTCAAAATGGATGTTCACTAACACTCCACTAGATACGGCCCATCTCAAGCAGATGTGAAGGTCTTCCAGGCTATGAAGGAGGGACCAAAGGTCGAGAAGTTCCCACACGCCTACCGATGGTACAAGCACATCTCCACTTTCGAGTCAGAGTTCTCTCAGCTCCCAGGTGACCCAAGCAAGGCTCCCACCGCCTACGGTCCAGAGTCCAGCGAGCTCACCCTCAACCCTGCAAAAGCACCGGAGAAGGCTGCTGAGGAGGACGACGATGACGTCGACCTTTTCGGTTCCGATGATGAGGAGGAGGATGCAGAGGCTGCCCGTGTCCGAGAAGAGAGATTGGCCGAGTACAAGAAGAAGAAGGAGGGCAAGACTAAGCCAGCTGCCAAGTCTGTCGTCACACTCGATGTCAAGCCATGGGGTATGTGCTCAGATACCACATTCATATGGAAGTAACGCGTCACTAACATTCCTTTGCAGACGACGAGACAGACATGAAGGCTCTCGAGGCGTCCGTGCGCAGCATCGAGAAGGATGGCCTTGTTTGGGGTGCATCCAAGCTCGTCGCTGTTGGTTTCGGTATCAAGAAGCTCCAGATCAACCTGGTCGTTGAGGACGAGAAGATTTCTCTCGATGAGCTCCAGGAGGAGATTGAGGGCTTCGAGGACTATGTCCAGTCCTCTGATGTTGCCGCTATGCAGAAGTTGTAGATGGCAGCATTTAGCTGCGCGGGCATAGATTCTCTGGCTGTGATAATGGCAGCTTGTGCTCGGTTTTTGACGGCGGAATTGCTGGCTTCATGGCTTGATGTTTTACGACGCATAGACAGTGATACCACCAAAAGCAAGGGGCATGCAGCTTGCATATGAATGACCGGCAATCACTGGTAGATGCATTATACTAGGTACCATGAAATACTCATTCCAATCGGAGTTCGTTGCTTCGATCACATGAAATAATCTGTTCCTCCCTCCTGCCAAGCCTGATGCGGCTCAAAGCCATCGACACGACGTTAACTTCCTATCTCGAGACCAGACTAGAGATAGGATTATTTGAGTAGTATTTTGGTATATGTGTGTGTGTGTGTGTGTGTGTGTGTGGCATAGTGGCATAGTATGTGGCTAAGGTGTGGCGTATAGCCAATCAGCGTTTAGATAACAGAGATCCTATCTCTAGTCTGGGCCGTTTCTGTCGCAATTTGGCTGTTTGCATAGATTTTCCCCTCCTAAAGAAGCACTCGTCGAGGAATACAAATTAATATATAATATATAGTAGAGGGCCTAGATAATATAATTATCTAGGCCCGCCCGGCAGTACTTTTTCGAATTACGGTCTTAATAGTGCGCATTCTTATCGTCGCGGTCGTCGCGGTATAGAGTAGCCTTCTATGCAGCCGAGCGTGTTCGGTTTTTAGATTACATTCGATTTTCCTAAACCGGGGCTATCGTATACGGAATAAAAAATAGTAATTAGTATATATAAAGTATTTATCTAGGTCGCTACCGTGGCGGATTTTCGAATTTCGGTCTAGGTATTGCGTATTCTTTCTTCGAAAAAAAATTCGGGTCGCTTTATCTATGCACGCGTACCAAAACCCGGACAGAAGCGGATCAGACCAGTAACAAAGGGTGTTGTGTGGTCTGTGCGGGAGTTTATTTCTATAGTGGCTTATAGTGGCTGAGCTGAATTGTACAGATATACCATACAACACCCTTTGTTACTGGTCTGAGTGGAGATAGGTTAACTTCAACGTTCAGCATCTCGAATTCTGTACCAACATCACACGTCCACCCTTCTGAAGTACCCAAGAACACCGTCAAGATGGGTTTCGCATCGAATGTGATCAACATAGCCGGTCTGGTGTTCCTGTCGCATGCGTACGTTGAAAGCTTCCAAACGGAAACGCTGCAGCATCTTGCTAACGCATTCTCCCGACAGTGTCTACAGCTCATACGAACACTCTCTACTCCCGACATCATCTACGCCGCCTCCGCCTAGCTCATTTCTCCCGCGCGCATTGGATCCGAAAATTAGCATACCAACAGACATCATCGTCGAAACTCTGTTCTCAGTGCTGCTTCTCTGTGTCGGAGTAGTATTAGGCAGCGCGGATCTGAAACCAATACAATGGAACGTTTGGGCCGGAAATCTGGAGAGAAGTAAAGAAGCGAGGAAAATTCAGGAAGTCGGCGTGGGTGGTGGAAACCCGTATGCTGGGCTGGAGGAGAGGAGTGGGTTTGCGGATATCAGAGCGCAGAGGAAGGAGTTTGCGGAGTGGGTGACAGGTGGTGGGCAGAAGGTAGTGTCGTCGCGATAGAGCAATACAATACTGCGCGTTCTACGCATCCTGAGAGCTATGGACAGCCTACCCAGAACACAGGACGAGCACGTTCAGGTCTCTCCAAGGACCTCTCAGCCAATCCGCCGTCAAGAGGACGTCACGTATTCAAGCGCAGAGAGCTCGTTCTGAGACTGATATCCTGGCGAGCGACTCCATCAGCTGGTCAGAGTCGCTCCTTCCTCACAACGCGCACGGCACGAACGTGGCGAACGCGTTTCTGGCCCGCACGCGCACTTTCACTCTTGCAAAACACTACACTTCACTCCGTTGACATCGAAACAGCATCACACAACATGCGCTCCTCAGCTGCTGCAGTCAAGCGCCGGCGCAGCAACGAGACCGCCGCTTCAAGACGTGGGCGAGCAAGAACCACGTCTGCCCGCTCCTCCAGTCGAGCAGACTCCCGGCAATCCTCAGTCTCCCGTGGCTCATACAACGCACAGTGGCAGTTGCGCAATGCCCTCCCTCGCACGCCTTCATATGCATCAAGCTCTACCGCTCGCGGCGGCATTGACCGCCATGTGGTGCATGTGGGTGACTCTCGAAGCGTGGCGAGCACGCAGCTGCCGGTCGACGACATCGACATCTTCGACGACGAAAGCTTGAACGAGGTCGCTATGGCAGTGAATGTCACGGATCGTGGGACGGTGTAAGTGCTTCTCCGACTTCCGACGAAACATGACTTGCAACGACGCTGATTCTCCACTCTCTCATTCTAGTGGATGTGCTTACTACAACGCGAGAGCCGAAACCTTGTACTTTATGGAAGACGTCCCGCTTGGTGGTGCTGACATTGTCGACGCTTGTTCGTGACACCATACTATCCCTGAACCAGCTGACAGAATGCAGTGAAGCTCTTTATTGATCCCACCGTGATCCTAACCTCAACAAAGTGCAACGCAGAGACTATCAGTCGTCTCGATCCAGAAATGCGAGACGCTCATCTGAGAGCTGCCTCAGCTGATGGCCCCAGCGACCAGAGCAGCCTTCCATATCTGTTGGAGTGTCGACCGAACGCTGAATTCGGCTACGACTCTGCGAGAAATAAGCTCGTGAATCTCCGTATCGGCCAGTCTGGCGGGCCGTCAGTCACCTTCACCGTGCCTGGAGACGTAATGACCCAGCATGATGACCGCCAATCATCCGACAATGGCTTTCATGGTGGTCAAGCCTCCTTGCTTCGTCTATCTGGCTGGGTCAACATGGAGAGTCGTTTCACCGTTGGCTGTGCAGGTGCTGTGCTCGCCTACCTGCAGCGCAGAAGAGCTACTACCTATCTGCCTGGAGACAGAGATGCAGAGTCCATGTTCAGAGTCGCTCGAGTTGAGATGTTCAGCCTGAAGGACTCCATGTTTGTCAATGCTGACACTTTGCTTTCCCTTCAAATCACTACGACCGAGTCACATCCAAATGCTCAGCAGCAAGGACCTGCGAAATCCGGAGGATCGAAAGAAGGTCTTTCTGTATACGGCCTCTTCCACCCTCTGGCCAAGACCCAGCAAGGAAGACATACGCTACGACAGATATTCCTCCGCCCCAGCATGAACATGGAAATCATCAACGAGCGTCACAATACCTTGAGCCTTTTCCTGCAACCAGAGAACGACAATGTCCTTGATCGCCTATCGAAAACATTGAAAGGCGTCAAGAATATGCGTATCGTGACAACCAACCTGCGCAAAGGCAACAGCAGCGGACCAGACAACAGGGGCAAGGCGATTCCCGCCTCAGCTTGGTACAGTCTGCATGGGTTCTTGTATTGCTGCCTCAGTATACTTGATGCTCTGGCTGATATGCCTGGAGCTACACACCTTGCGCTCCACCACAAAGTCGAGGAGAAGTTTGATCGGCAGCGTATTGCAGAAGTCGGTCAGTACATCGCTGAAGTGATCGACTTCGAGGGATCAAAGGTGGAGAAGCGTACCGTCATCATGCCTGGAGTAAGCGCTGAGCTCGATGAGCTTCGAAGATCCTGGGCTGGAATCGACGACATGCTTTCTGAGGTCGCTGTGGTCATTGCGAACTTGGTTCCTACTGACATCCGCAGCCAGCTCAACGTCATCTTCTTTCCACAGATTGGCTTCTTGATCTCAATTTGCCACGAAGCAGACGATGTGCCGGTTCCCTATGCCGGTACCGATGACGACCCTTGGGAGAAGATGTTTCACTCTACAGACGCATCATATTACAAGAATGCTCACATGACGGAGATGGACGAGCAATTCGGAGATATCCACGGCCAAATCATCGACCTGGAAATTGAAATCGTGCAAATGCTCGCACAGCGTGTACTGGAGTATGAAGACCTAATCGTCTCCTGTTCCGAAGTATGCGGTGAAGTCGATGCTCTCGTCGCTTTGACTCAAGGTGCCAAGCTGTACAATCTCGTCAGACCCCAAATGATCGATGACAATATCATCAAGATCAAGGAAGGCCGACACATATTGCAAGAACTCACCGTACCAACCTTCGTACCAAACGACACCTGCCTCGTCGGCGGAAATGGGGATGAACAGGAATCCTCTCCCCACAGATCTCGAGATCCACGAACCCAACCCTTACAAGGCCCGAACATGATCATCCTCACAGGACCCAACTACTCAGGCAAAAGCATCTACCTCAAACAAGTCGCCATAATCGTCTTCATGGCCCACATCGGCTCCTTCGTCCCCGCCTCCTCCGCCAAAATCGGTCTTACAGACAAAATTCTCACACGAATCGCAACCCGAGAATCCGTCTCCCGAATTCAAAGCGCCTTCATGATCGACCTCCAACAAGCTTCCATAGCTCTCAACCTCGCAACCCGCCGAAGCCTTGTCATAATCGACGAATTCGGAAAAGGAACAGATTCCAACGATGGAGCAGGTTTAGCAGCAGGAGTTTTCGAACATTTACTCCAGCGCTCGCCGAACTGTCCGAAAGTTTTGGGAGCGACACATTTTCACGAGATCTTTGAATCTGGCTTCTTGTCTCCTCGGCCGGGGTTGGGATTGGCGTTTGCGCATATGGAGATCCAACTCGATTCATCGGAGAATAGGAGGGGAAAGCAAATTACGTTCCTGTACAATCTTCGTTCGGGAAGGAGCACGCAGAGCTTCGGCACGGCTTGTGCGGCGATGAATGGGATTGATCGAGAAGTTGTAGAGAGAGCGGAGGAATTGAATCTTTTGGCGAGTAGGGGTGAGGATCTTGTTGAGGCTTGTGCGAAGATGCCGGAGGGGGAGTTGATGGAACTCGAGGATGCTGTAAGTATTCTTAGGCAGGTGAGGTGATTGGCGCTAACTAACGATGTTTTGATAGGAGAATGTTGCGAGGCGGCTTTTGATGATGGATGAGTTTGAAGACCCGAGGGAGATTCTTGAAGAGCTGGTGACGACAGTAACGGATAGTGGGACGACGAAGGGGAGTATCACGGAGTCGTGACGAGCTGCGTTGTTTGCGAGAGACAGTGTGCCGGAGGAAATTTGGTTGGTTGCTTTGCTACTATAGGAGAGCATTTGCTAAGAGAACAGGACTTCGTGAAAGCATGCGACATGGACATCCTGCTTTTGGCCCGACCGAGAAGGAGCGCTCGTAACGCAATGCTTTTTAACAATGTCTCGAGCCTACTTCAGGCTTGTTGTCGCCAATGGCAGGCACTTTGATCGGCACATTAGCGATTCTGCAGAGAACCCTCTATAAATGTCTCATGCCATGTCAAACTCTGTCGATCAGCCGGAAGACCCGGCCATGGTAGAAATGCAGACCTCACTTTGTATCAAATCGCTCTCCATTCTACCATACTAACAGCATTTATAAAATATCACTGCTCCTTCTCAGGATCACGCTCACTACTCTCCATCGCCGCACCAGCCGCCACGGGGAAGGTTGGAGCAAAGTGACTCCTCGCCCGAATCTTCGCACCCTTCAGATAAAAAAGAATCGGCATAGGCACACACGCCAGCGCCACACAACCCAATAAAGTTCCTGCCCACTGCACACCCATGCCCTGGATCATCTGCGTTGCGAAGAGAGGGAAGCCTGCGCCTGCCAATGACCTTAAGAATGTGTTGGCTGCGATGGCACTTGCTGCGAACATGAGGTATGCGTCGATGAGGTAGTTGAGACATTGGAGAAATATGGACATGATTCCGAAGCCGGTGAAGAGGCCTGAGAGGGCTGGGGCGATCCAGTGGATTGAGGGATCGAAGCCGGTCCTAATAAAAGTAATGATGTTAGTTTGGGGTAGTAATTTTTGAGTGGGGGACGAGATCCACTTACCATCCGAACCAGAACACCCCCACAGCGAAGCAAGTGCCTCCTACGATGACTGGAGGAAGACGCCATTCTGGGATCGGCATGTTGTTGTTCGCAGCCAGCTTTTTATTATAGCCCGGCTGGAGAATGATCATGTAGACACCAGCGAATATTTCTCCTGTGATCATGCCGAAGAATGGCAGGCCGCCGATTCCTGGACTGAAGCCGTGGATCTGTTGGAAGACGATCGGATAGAATGTCAGGAAGAGGTATAGTAAGCCATACACCAAAGCCATATATAAACTGAGCAACAGGACGATGGGCTCCGTGAAAAGCATTCGCATCGGTCTGCTCAAGTTCTTCTCGAGCAACTCTCGCAGGTCGACTTCGATTTCTTCTTGTTTAGCATGGATACCCCAGTTCTTTGTCCTTCTTCTGAGATCTGCGGCTTTGTTGACGAGGATGACGGGTGGGTAGGTTTCTTCGAGGAAGACCAGCGAGAGGCCGAGTCCCAAGAAACCCATGATGGTCGTAATGTACTCGGTCCAGCGCCAGCCAAGGTATGAGGTTACGATGAAGCCGCCAATGAAAGGTGCCTAATGGGTCGAAGGTCAGCAAACGTCTTAGACATCAGAGCGTTCAAGGTTTTGCTCTTCTTACCATGAGGGGACCCGAGAAGACGGTCATACTGAAGACTGTAATTGCAAGACCACGCTGGCGATTAGAGAACATGTCCGCGAAGACGGCTCCGACGCAAGTAAGCGGGCAAGCACCGCAGAAGCCAGCGAAGAACCGACAGATGAAGATCGTTTGAGTGTCTTTGGCGACTGCAACTGCCAAGTTGAAGATAGAGAAGCCGAAGGAGGATAGCAAAAGTGGAATTTTACGTCCATACAACTCACTGGAGGGCGCCCATATGATCGGTCCTGTTGCAAATCCCAACACGTAGAGCGAGAGACCTAGAACGCCGACTTCTCTAGATATGCCGAATTGCTGAGCAACGACCCCGGTGGCTGTTGAGAAGATGGATGATCCGAACGCTGCGGTAAAAGTGACAAACCCCAGAGTGATCGCAACGGGGAGCTTCTTTTTCATAGGCCAATTCTGTGCATGGAGAGGGTCATTCGGGCCATCGAACTCGACAACATATTCCTCGCGATCAGGGAGGTCTGGTGGATATGGCTTGCCAGCGCCAAAAGCAGGTAATGGTGTCGTCTCATGTCGCGTTCTAGTCCGCGATCTGATACTCTGTCCCACTGTGGCACTATGCTGACTGCGTCCAGTCTGAATTCGGCTTAAGGCTGTAGGATGTCGTTCAAGGTCCACATCGTCTCGCTGCGTGGCCATCCTCAACACTCCGATTTCTGCTCGTTCTATCGACACGCTAAATGAAGATGATCCAGAGCTTGAGGTGCTGATTCCAGTGACTGTGCGCTCGAGCGCTTCCCGTTTCTCTGCTTTCTCCATATTGCTGGAGTCCACTCCTCTGTTTGGTGCTGGACCCGGACTGATACCAAATCTCTCTGGACTGGCTTCTCGTTCCGCCGCCGACATTCTGCGGTCTTCTGGATTCATGGTTTAAGTTCTGTCGTTCTATCCAAGCTGCTTGCAGAGTTATGGCTTCCCAATGTGCGTGCAATCCTTAGGTACGCAGAATCGCAACTCCCTCAAGGAGGAAAAAATCAGTGTCGATCAACCAGGCCAAGTCCTGTCTGCCACACTAAGAAAAGTATTATGGTATGGTTTGATAAGTACGTCCTTTGGCTATCGTCGGTATATTCTAGAAGAAATCCAATGGCTACCAAAGAGAAAAAAAAATTCCAAGTTCGGGATGAGTGCACGGATCGGGAAGGATGTTTGTTATTATGAACGACGTCTGTGCCGAAGCCCCGGACCAAACAAACTGCAACTGCCTACTTTTGAAGAACCAAAGTCTGGACTAATCAGCCACCTTGCCACCGTCCGCTAAAGAAGTTGTCTCTTTTCCTTGACATATCATCCGATGACGATTTGCACGGAGCGTATCTGGTTGATCAGGCCGATGTGCCGAAGTTTCGCCATGGATCCTGGTCAAACCAATGGGTAAGTTAAGAGGCGAGAGTTGTGCACTTGTGCTTAGATGAATCACTCTAAATATTGTGATGAAGGTGATGAAAGAGCTCTGGACATTCGTGGAGTGTCCGAGGATGTGACGATGGAGCATAGAATAACCTGCCGCTGTTCTCGCACGAAGATGATGCTTCTCCATGCTTTGTAAGTCTACTCCGTATCTGTGCGCGGCAGTCTGACCTTTCTCACTTTCGAGACGAGGTCCAGATAGCGTGCTATGCTGTCGTATGCCATGTCGTCGTGCTAATGTACATTATGCTTGATGTGATGCTTCGTGATGATTGCAGCTAATTATCGCTTCTTCTCTTCCTCCTCTACAGTCTTTTTGACACCCTCGACGAATGCTTCGACAGCGTCGCCACCACCTAGGGGAACACTGCCGCCGTGAATGAGACCTCCATTCTCGATCTTCACTTGCAATGCTTCGCCAATCATGGGAAGGCCGCCATCACGCAGAGCGACCGTCAACGATCCGAGACTTTGATGAAATTGTGGCGATCGGAGCACGCGGGTAAGGATGGCCTTCTTTTGTGCTGTCGACAGAGCTTCAATAGCTGCCTGTGTTGCGGCTGGGCTGGGCTCAGTGGCTGACGTTGACTCTTCCGATTCCTGGCCAAGGAGAAATAGCTCAGGAGGTAGATATGTGCAGAGATGATCGATCTGTTGCGGTGATGCCGAAGATAGATATGCAGTCGTAATTGAAGACGGAAGGAGGTCGGGCAATGTTGTGAAGGGCTTATCCTGGCGCTGTGATTGTGGTGATCCGCTGCCACCGCTGCCTTTGAGAGAATTGAGGAAGTTTTGTACAATGGCGTTTGTGTCTTGTGCGCCTGAGGAAGCACTACCTGAGTGATTCACGTTAGCCGATGCTTCGTTTATAGAGATTGCAAAATGGCACGCAGCTACAAAAGCAGACAGTAGCAACGTATTTTCAGCACTTTCGTACATGATGCATCCTCGCAAACGCCGTCTTTCCTGACCATACTCGGTACAATGAACTGCTTCTTTTGCAGCTGATTCAGTTCGCCTCCAGCGCCTCGCTTGATAACGATGAGACATCTAACAACTTACGCTCTGCCTCCATCTGCACCGCCTTCTCTGCTTGCCTCGCCCTCCTCTCGTGGGTCGCCGCCTGTGGCATCGGCACCGGCACCACCTGTCTCTTGGCGCTCTAATGAAGAGCCATGGTGATCGATCTCCATGGCGTCAGCATCGCCATTTGGACCAGCACTGTCGTCTCCGTTCCGGATGTCCTGGATCTCACGCTCAACATCAACACCCTCGCCCTGCAGCAGCGCATCGATGATTTGACCAATCCGCTGATCCCGCTGGCTGAACCAGCTCAAGTGTCCTTCCCGTGACTGCGCCTTGCTCTGCATCCAAAAGAAGTGCTTCTGACTGCTGGACGTGAAGCGCAGAACAAAGATGCGGCCGGTAGTGGGGGAGTGCAGCTCTTCAGCACCTTGCTCTTTTAGCAGTGGATAGAAGTGGCCGTCTTGTGGGAACATGATGAGGTCGAGTTCAGGTTCGGTGGCAGGTGCTGAACGCGGCCGCCAGCAGAAGTGCAGCAGCTCATCCTCTTCGTATAGGTAGATGTAGCCGGGCGTTGGGTTTGGCGTGACTTTACGGCCGCTGAAATCGCATTTGCCAGCTTTGAATGTGATGAGAGGTGTTGCGGCCATTTTGGGTGGATGTGATGTGTTTGGTCGCGTGTCGATGTTTCGTGGAAGTTGATGATGGCATGTTTGATGTCAGCGAGAAACGTTGCAAGCCTCAGAACTCAGGCATCAACTTTTGGGCTTCCGGCTTGGCACTGAGCCCACCCGCCGTAATTCTGTCTTGAAGAAGCCGGCCTTTGCGACATCCAGAAACGACTCCAGCGGCACAACACCATACTAACCCGTAGCACCTTCTTTTCGGTACGGCTTTCAAGACATATTCGAAATCGCGACAACACTAATACCACGACAGTCGCCGTCAAGATGTCTACCGCCGCCCAGAAGACGCAAAACGACCAGAAGGCGTCCAGATACTATCCAGCCGACGACGATGCACAGGCAAAGAAGGTATGAAGACACCTGATAGTACATGGGAGACGCAAGATTGGAAGCGGCGGAAACTGAGAATTGGATGGATATGAAGAGCATGCACTGACCTGTCGACACACAGTCCCGCAAGGCCATCCGTCCATTCAAGCCGCGCGCATCTCTCCAGCCAGGTGCTGTCCTGATTCTCCTCGCCGGTCGCTTCCGTGGCAAGCGTGTCGTCCTCCTCAAGGTTCTCGATCAGGGTACCCTCCTCGTCACTGGCCCATTCAAGCTGAACGGTGTCCCACTCCGCCGCGTCAACGCCCGCTATGTGATCGCAACCAAGACCAAGATCGATCTCTCTGGTCTCGACAAGGCATCAGTCGACAAGGTCTCCGGCGAGAACTACTTCGCCCGCGACAAGAAGGCCGACAAGAAGGGCAGCAAGGAGGCTTTCTTCCAGCAGGGTGAGAAGCCACAGAAGAAGGAGGTCGCCGGTGAGCGCGCTGAGGACCAGAAGAAGGTGGACAAGGCGTTGCTCGCCTCTATTAAGAAGGAGCCTTTGCTCCTCGGATACCTTTCGACTAGCTTCAGCCTGCGAAAGGGTGACCGGCCGCATGACATGGTCTTCTAAATGCATTGCACAGCGAGATGGGAAAGATGGGATTCTATGGCGATGGAGGTCATTGGCGTTGCAACTCGTACTAGTTTTCTGTGTCGCATAGACGAGGTTGTGGGCAGAAGCATGGTCCCGCTGAATCATTGAACTTCGTAAAACGCAGGACAACCACAAATGAATGAGAAGCTATGACAAACAGCGACGACAACATCCACGTTCAATTTCAGATAAAAAGCATCGCTTCGTAAACGGTACGCTAGCGATGCACTGGACAATTTCGACGCGGCCACGTTCGAAATCAAACAACGTCAATGCTAGGTAGGTATCGGAGTCCTGTCTGGCATCAGCCCTCGCATCTCATACAAAAATTTCACCAAGGTCAACGTATATCGGACCATATTATGGAGTACTGCAACCACCGGCGAGACGCCATAGACGATATCACAGAACTAGGAGCCATATATTCCGCCTTCCCACCTCTCGCTCTGCTTGATTGGCATGACCGGCACTGCTGCAAAAAATCTGTATACCTTATATCAGCATCTTGACGTTACCAGTGAGAACGCAAATTTGATAAACACCGGACACTGAACAAATGACTACGTGGACAAACAACGTCATGTGTGAGAAAATTCTTGGCACTCGCAACATCCTCCTTTGCCCTCCATGTAACGTAGCCTTTCTTGACTTATTATTATTATTATCAGCTTTCACACGGCCTTTCCGCAACATGCATCTCCTCTGCTACGGAAGAATTGCACTCGGTATAACAATACCTATAATTGCACTCATGATCGCTCCCAAAGACGACGGGAGCGAGCAGAAACCCGCAACAACTACCACCAGGCCAAAAGGCTGATGAGAAGGAAGCCGAATAATGTTCGTGAGATTTTCCATTCAATTCCTGGATCTCGTCGTGTTATCGGAGCATTACTTGCTCTCCGAATGCATTATGTACAAGCAAATGACTGGCTTGCGCTCGACCTCCTCCTGCTGCTATAAGGGGAATCCAAAAAAAAAACGCCTGGCAAAATCGCCATAGATGCATTCAATGCCCGGTCCTCGTGACCCCATTCATCATTGCGCCATTAAAAAGATGTGCTAGGCCATACTGCATGTTTCTAAAGTAAAGAACAGGAAGGAAAACAACGCTGCTCACGACGATCATCATCGTCTTGAGTATCGTGTTCCGTGTGTTCTCCTGTCGTCAGAGCTTGCGCTGCCTGGAAACGAAAGTCAGTATTTCATTCTCGGCGGCTTCGCATCGGACTGTACTCACTGGCACTGGTGTAATAATCGCTCGAATAAGAGTACTCAGAGTACTTCTCGTCATGTCTCCTCTTGTCTCTCTTTCGCTTGAGGCCAAGCACAGCCCAGAGAGCTGCAAGACCCGCGCCAATGCCGAGCAGATTCTTTCCATCGTGAGATTTCTTGTCTCGGCGATCGACACGAGCTGGCGGCCTTGAAGCACCATACCAAGTTCGTCCACCACCAGCGCCACCAGCGCCACCATGGTGGGAATGGTGCGAGTATCGCTCTTCTTCCACGACCTCTCGTCTCCTTTTGCGTCCTCCGAGTCCGAAACATGCAAGGCAGCCGTCGAGAAGACCCTTGAGACAGCAGTAGAAGCAGAGCAATCCAAGCAGAAGCAGACCCACCAGCACGCCAATGACAATACCAGCGATCGCACCTCCGGAAAGTCCTCCGCCTCCGTTGTTCTGCTCCGATCCAGTGACTGTAACGTTGGCACCTGTTGCAACGGGCGCGATGAACGGGACAGTGGTAGTCGGACTGGCAGTCTGGGTGATTGTCTGATAAGACGAAGAAGTCGGCCGCACTGGCGCAACCGCTGTCGCACCAGCACCTCCAACAACGGTGTAGCCACTAGGAGACCCAGAGCTGCCAACCGCTGCCTCTTTACATTGCGACTGCTCTGGGCTGAAGCAGTACTGGTTGCTTGCACAGCATATACTTCCACAAGACTGCTGGTTCTGGCCACAAGCGATTCCTGTCGCGACAGCGCCTCCGATGTATGTCGACATGACACTCGTGACCGTCACCAGATCTGTCTGAACGTACGTCGTTGTGTAGACGGAATAGTAGCCTCCAGCAGCCGTGACTTGCGTGCTAGCTGTACACGATACGATTGACGCCGCATCGGTATAACAGGCTTGGCCAGAACCACAGCATAGTTGTCCATAATACCCGCAAGTCGTGCCGGAACAAGCTTGTCGACCAAAGAGTTCGTTGAGAGAGAAACCGGCCAATTTCGGTGGAATCGGGTCTGGGAATGCGAAGGTCGATGGCGGTGCGAGGAGGATGGTGGTAAGTAGATGCAGCAGCGGGCGTGGCACTTGACTGAAGCGCATGGCTGCAATCGCTGCCCGTCGGTCGGCCTGCTCAAAATCGTCTTGCTGAGCTGAGGAATGTGGGCGTCGTCGATGGCAAGTGCGGAATGGAATGCACCAATGCTGCACTGCTCTCCACCACCCCGCAGCGGTAGTGGTGGCACCTCACCGCGATTTCGTCTGGGGCCGAAGTGAACAGTGGTGTGGAGTATGAATCTGTGCTTTGCGATCAGAAAAAAGCGCCTTTCTCGTCAACGAACGAGTGCGTAAGGAAAGAACTCCCCAATTCGTTTGGTCTGGTGTGGTCTTCAGGTCGCTATCCGATCTGCCGTGCAAGATGTGGCTGGATGTGCCCAACCACCTTTCCTTTCCCCACCACCTGAATTTCTTCTTCTTTCGATTGTGACGCGTGGTCGGTTCTCTTGGGAGATTCGTGCGTTGGAAGTGCTTTCGCTAACTTATGGTATGTCCGATCTCTACGGCTCGTAAGTTACGAAACGTCACTGCCCAACGCTGTGGTCGCTCCATCAATCGTTGTCCAGCGCAACGGTTGTTGTGGACGTGGAGCCGTGGACGCTGGGACGGCTTCCGCGGGAGCTTGGACGGAGCTCCATATACACCAGATTGTCAATGAAGAATTCACAACGCAATCTTTGCCCCTACAAGTTCTTTTTAATATATCTTTTTATCTAGAGGAGTTATAGCTTAATAATATAGGACAAAGATACTCTAATCTATGTATATTTTTGGAAAATATCAAGATTTCTAGTCGTTGCCTCCTAAATTAATAAGCTATATAGCTTAAAACTCTAAGTTAGAGATTTTAGAACTTTAGTGTTTTCTTGAGTCTTAATATACTATTTTTAGTAATCTAAAAACCAGGCCTTATAGTTTTACTTAAGAAAAATCCATTTCGAGATTTTTCTCGTAATATAGCTACTATTAGTTATATAATCTAGAATTCAAAACTTAAATTCTTCTTAGGTTCCCTTTCGTATATCTTTTTCTTTAGACGAGTTATAGCTTAGTAATATAAGACAACAATAATCTGTTTTCAATCTAGTATTAGAAAATTACTAAAATTATTATAGCTATCTACTAGGATTAGCCTAAAATTCTAGAATAAAGATTTTAAGACTTTTGCTTTTTTTAAGCCTTAGTATACTATTTTTAGTAATCTAAAACCTAAACCTAATAGTTTTACCTAGTAGGAATCTATATTAGAGCTTTTACTTTAAATAAGCTATAAATAGTCTTATAACTTAGAAAAGAATATTCTTAAGAATTATAAACTTTAAATTGCTAAGCCTACAATTGTTAAGAATATTCGCTTTAGGATTTTAAGACTAATAGTAAGCGTATTAAAATAAGAATCTCAAAATGTATTTATACTAAGTAAAACTTTTAGGTCTAGGTTTTAGATTACTAAAAATAGTATACTAAGGCTTAATAAATACTAAAATCTTAAAATCCTTACCTAAGAGTTTTAGGCTAATCTTAGTAGATAGCTATAATAGTTTTAGTTATTTTCTAAAAATATATAAAAGCTAAAGTATATTTGTCTTATATTACTAAGCTATAGCTCTTCTAAATAAAAAGATAAACTAACGAGAATATAGTAAGAAAATAATATTCCTTTCTAGATTATGTTGCTAATAGTTTATATACTAATATATAAATTTAGATTTAGATTTTTATAAGGTAGAACTATAAGATCTGAATTTTAGATTACTAAAAATAGTATGCTAAGGCCTAAAAAAATGCTAAAATTGTTAAACTTCAAAATTAGACTTTTAGGCTATATAGCCTATAAATTTAATAGGTAACGACTAGAAATTTTACTATTTTCTAAAAATAGATACAAATTAGAGTATCTTTGTTCTATATTGTTAAGCTATAACTCCTCTATATAAAAAGATATATTAAAAAGAACTTGAAGGAGCAAAGATTGCGTTGTTGTCGCTGCGGTCAGAAGTGCTGTATTGACAATCTGGTACGTATGGGCCTCCCTAGGAGCTTGGGCCTTCGGTTCGGGATGCAATCCTCCTACACAGGATTCGAGAAACAGACATTATTATTGACTTACCCTCCCCTCCTTCAGTCTATCTACATCTCATCGTACAAGTCATGTCATGACTACGCTAAGCTGATCGCATCGCCGCTGATCGATATTACCAGAAACATCGCCAAAAAAATCTCGCTTCGTCAACATGCAGTAAACGAGACAGTGAAGACTCATCGCGGCGACGTAGACGAGGCACTCTTGTCTCTCCTCTCCACATCCTGCCCGCTATCCATCTCGACTCCCGCGTTGCTTCCAGGTAATTCCTGTGGAACCATCTGTTGCGGCGGGTCGCCCCATTTCTGATAGCTAGGCGGACGAGCCGACCATTCTGAGCCGTTGTGTTGTGGCGAGCTGTGGTATGAGGGCACCATAGGCGATAAGTTATAGCTTTCTGCGCGAAATGAGTGAGTGAGCCGCTGGGAGTCTTTGTCCTGGCGTAAAAAAACTTACGAGGCACATGTTTGAAATTGGTAGTCGCTTGATCAGGCGGTAGCTCTGACACGCCTTGCCCCGATAGTTCGGCTTGCATTGCACCGTTTCCATTCCCCTTCTTCGCAGCTTGCCTTCGACGTCTTCGGTAAAACCACCATATGCCAAATACGAAGGCTGCTAGTACGACAACTCCACCCACGACTCCTCCTGCTATTGCGCCCGTGTTGGTACTCGATCCTGACGCAGCAGCTGTCGATTGTGTCCACGTGGTGTTAAGGCTCAAGAAAGGTTGTGCATCGGCTGGATTTTGTGACAGAAATGCGCCAGCGAGCGCTGTGTTCGGGCAGCCAGTGTCAGTCCCGCAGCCAGATTCCGTACAGCAGCCCCAGAAAGGTGGATCTGTGTAGGCGCAAGTGTAGAACAGGCCTGGGAGTAGATCGTTAGCGAGTGTGATGATTCTGTCTGGAAGTCCGACGTCTTACCGTTCGAGCATTGCTGATCAGGTATTTGGCCGTACTGTTCTGCATCGAACTCTGTTTTCACCAGGTTTCCGGCCGGACAACCCACCGCACATGGGTCGCTGAGACAACATCCTACATATCTGCTCCCATCTCCACAAGCGTAGAATCGCCCGCCTTCAGGGCAGGTCATGTTCGGCGTCGTCATGATTGCTGTCGCGATGGAGATACCAGATGCGAAAGTCGAGATGTAGACGTCAGGCTGATCGAAGCAGATCAAGTCAAGTAAGAGAACGGATAAGCCGCTGAAGGATGCATGTACTGTTCATCATAAAGCAGTGCCGACCCAACACGCGGCCTGCTACCAAGGCTGGCTATGTTCTAGGTCATGTACAACGCATGGCTAACATCCTGCGTGCCATGCGGATCGACCGACAAAAGGACAATAAGCAGCGGTCAGCCGGCGGATTGTCCGACTTGAATACGACCACCATGTTGCTGCTATACTTGCTTGTGAGTGCATTTGGTCGTTTCAAAGTTGCGTCGAAAGAGCGCATGGAAAGATGCATAGATTTGCTGGATTTGCGACAACATATTAGCTGTCTGTATGTGTTTCAACTTTTCCGATCCCTTTGAACCCGCTGTTTCGATGTATCTTGCCATGCCAGTGCCGTGCAACTGCCATGGAGCGAAGGATTGTCAGCTCTGCAAGACGTCTTGGAGGCCAAGAGCCAGCTGAACCAAGCCAGTCGCCACTTGTGGGTAGCGCAAGTGAGAGTGGCGTGGACGGACAAAGTCGTGCTTCCGATATTGTGTCGCAGCTCGCTACCACGTCGTCCACGCTATCGATGCATGTTCAACGTCAAGTCGGGGTATGTCTCGGCCGTTGTGCACACACTGCCGCTGCCAAGCGAACCAGTGCCTCTGCGTAGCCCTAAACAGGGGTAATGCAAGCGCGACGGACACCTTCCTTTCGAATCTCGCGATCAAATTCAGTCCAAGGCGCAAATAGTTCCAGAATAGTACGCAGGAACATGAGATTTACATCGGGATCCAGCATACATTGGAAGCTGCGTCGTTCGGCTCTCCAGCCTGATCCTTTCCGTGGATCCTTCGGCACTGTGACCTAGAATTGGGCGAGCATATGTTGGAGAATTCCTTCCCTTTCGGTTCAAACCAGGATTGCGCTCAAACCACGGTGCTTTCTGAGCATGCAGGGTTTGGAACTTTGGACAAGCCAGCTTCTATGTGACAGCCTGAGCCATCAGGAAAGTGGTCATGGTTAAATCATGCTGGGTCCGGAATCCTGTCTCTATTCTTCGTAAGCAGGCACTGTCAGGAACCATAAGGAGTCGTGTCCATCAGCGGCATATCCAGTGTGGCGGTATAACAAAGCTTGACTTTCATCGGAACCACCAATTGACCTGGAATTGTCAGATGAACGTGTGTCTCAACCTGTGCTTGTGAACTCACGGAGCCCGTCATGTCGTTCCCAATGCCCTTTATGCTATGCCACCATCCTTTAGGGATGAAGAGAGCGTCACCAGCGTGCAAATTGACCTCAAAACAGTCGTCATGATAAGATGTCGTCTTATGCCAGACTTCAGCTTCTAACGCCTTCTTTTCTTCCCCTGCCATCATCTCTTCGCCTCGCATAGTCGCTGATGCTGAGCCCCCAATCACTTCTTGAACCTTGGCAAAGATTCCATGCCCCATACTTGGATTGAACAGCCTCACAACTTTCTGCCCAGCTAGCTGTACAAAGAGGTTTGGATTTGGGTCTCTATGCAGCGGAGTATAGGTAGGTGCTCTGCCGAGCCAGATAGAGGAATCGTAGACATCGCCCTTTCCCGCCTTCAGGACAATTTCAGGGGTGGGCACATCGTTGACAAGTGCACGAGGGAGATCGGCGAGCCGAGCTTGGGCTAGATATACTTGCGCTGTGGGAGTCGTTGTGGTATTCGAGGCACTGGTAAAGAAGTCGTTAGATTCGCTAGTCCTCCTCATGGCGCGAGCTCCAGGTACATAGGAGCTGAAGTATCGATTGTGATGAGGTTCGAACTGTGAAGATGAAGCCTTGACGCACTCGAGGAAGAAGCTGAACGACTGCTCGATTCGAGTAAAGTCGTCGTTGTTTGATATCTCAAGCGGGACGATGGTGCTTCCCCATTTCGCGAGATATGCGGTGTTCAGGGTCGAGTTGTTCTTCGCATCTTTCAGGAACCATTTCTTCACGGCTGGCATTTCGACGAATGTCCTTCTAGGAAGCAAGGCGGGTATCGCTGGTTCGAAGGCATCACGCTGGAACGTAGGTAGGGCGGCATCGTGAAGTAGTAGTACAGCTTTTGGGGTGCTGGTAGAGGTATAATGTCTACATTGAGCTTGCACCGCGCTCAGCACACGACTGCGTAGCATCAAGAGCGACAGGATGAGTTGCGATGGGACGAGAACGATGTGTGGCTGCCGTCCACGGTGTTTCATGATCGAGGACGATGCACAGTCGGTGTCAAAATTGGTGGTACAAAAGTTTCCTAGCCTATTCTACGTACAGAAGCATCGATATCAGACTTCGACGCAAGAATGAACCTGTGCTGAGATGGTCGCGGCATCGCCTGCAGAGATCCGCTTAGCCTACCGCCATCTCTATCAAGGACTTCTCCGCGCGGTAAATTATTCAAAGCCTGCACGATACGTTGTGCGAGATCGCCTACGAGCTGGATTCGAGGAGCAAAGCGGCAACAGCTTTGAGCCAACGCGCATTGCCAATACTCTGGAGTTTTTAAATGGTGCCGCAAAGACCCGAGGCCTCGAGCACAAGATCCTAAAGAACCTCGTACGTGTCTACTGGAGAGAGTCGCAGAACAGACTATACACGCCGTAAGCTTTGCTGTTGCAGCCCGTGTGTACTTTGGTCAGCGGGCTGATGAATGTTATGTAGACCTAAGGACCTTCTACCACTACGGAGGAATGCATACAAGAACTTCAATCGGATGCTCGATAAGCTGAATGAGAGCATGGAGATGTGCCTCAAGTGAAGCAGCACACCAGCCCCAGCAATTCAAGCCAACGGCGATGAGACTCCAATATTACCTCGCCACATCAGTTTGCGGGAAACCCGCTACATCCGACATAGAGCTTCTTGATTTGCTCTGTTTCAGGACAACTTGAGAAGATGGGCTTGAGCTTCTTTCATGAGACAAGTTCACCAGGCCTATGCAGGCGATTATGGCATTCGATTGTCAGAGGGACGGCAATGGGAGATATGTGGTCCCAGAAGCGATGTGCCCACGCACGAGGACCTGTAAATAGTGCTCGAGATCTTCTCCAATCGGCACCTATATCACTCTTCCGCTGAATATAACTTTTCCTGCTTAACCATTTAAAACACCCATACGCCTTCGCTCATGTTGAATGGAGCCTCTCAAAATGCTCAAGAGGGTATCTGTAACGCCAGCTCATCTATCACTTGTCTTTTCCAATCCTTAGCTCTTTCCCAAACCACCATTTACTTCGACTTCTTTCCCGGCTTCTGTTCTCTGTCTCTCTTCGCATAAATCTCCGCGGTGAAAGGATCCTCAAAAGCCAACGCAATCTGATACACGAAAAGTACCAGCCCACTCAGCGCCAGACCCGCAGGCTTTCCATACCACAGCGCCGTGCCCACAAAACTCAGCGTGCTTCCGTAGTACATAGGACTTCGTGTGACATTAAAAGGGAATTCCGTCACAATATGGTCCATGAGAATCCCAAAGTAATCTCCCAAATACGTTCCCGTCACGCCGAGTGCCCACATACTGCTCAGGACCAGAACATTCCCACTAGCGACCAAACCGACTGCGAAGCCTTGAGAGAGGAAGCCCTCGAGGGCGGGATGTGAGGGTTGGGCTCGAAGGGCTCTTTCGTAGAGTGCGTCCCGGATCAGACCGATTGAGAAGATCGTGACGGCAAGCGCATAGCAGCCATACCGTGGGTTACCGCCGGCGAGTTTTGTTATGGTTTTGTTTCTATACTCGGATCGTGCTGCAAGGTTCCAAAAGGTGGGGTTGAAGATGATGGAGGCTGCGGATACTGTACGAGTGTGAGATCGGGGCGCAATAAATCTCGAGCTTTTTCTGTCGACTTACTCCAGAATGTAGGCTGGCTGAGGTCCACGTAACTCAGAATGCTCGCCATTTTTGCTTAGTACTTGTCAAGGAGTGAGGTGGATGTCGGGAAACAAAATTTGAGCTTGCGAAGAGCATTGAGGAGGCCCATTGAGAGCTACGACGTCAATAATCACATGTCACGGAAGTGGGGTTGCAGATCCCCGGCTGATGCTACAGAGCTTTATTTTATTGGAACCAGATCGTTCACTTGTTGTACAGTCGAGACGGAAATGAGGCAAGCGAAAAGAAGACCATCATGTTTCAGTTTCATAGCAGAATAAATCTTTGCTGTCATTCAATATGTGCGTTCTGTCCAGCTTACACCTTCCAGTCCACTACCCGCTTCTCACCAACGGGTTGACTTGGTTGGATTCGCAAGTGAATGGACCTCCAAAGTTGTCTGCTTCGTACCCATCAATGATCGACTGCACAGAAGCATAGGTACCGCCGCTCAAGAACAGAAGACCGATCCCGATGAGGACGATGTTGAAGATGAATCCGATCCAGCCTCGAATTCCACGAGTCTTGAAATAGTCTGAGCCATAGTCTGCAGCTCTCATGCGCATATATGCCACTCCCCAGAAGATGAATCCGAAGAAGCTGTCGAAGAGCGAGCTCATCAGAGAGAGCAAGTCTGCGAAGAACGGGATTACCTCCGCGATAATGAAAGCAAACACCCATGTCACGGCAAGAATACCAGCCCAGCCAGCCCAGCCGATGATAGTGTTAGAGGTCATGTGGCGAGTCTCAGCAAACAGGCGGAAGAAGACAAAGCGAGCAGAGACTGAAGCATATAAGACTCCAAGGAAGATGATTGTCGGAATCATGAAGGAAAATGAAACCTTCAGATAGACGTCGTTGCCGAGGGACCCGAAGGCTGGTGCGGTGTTGTAGTTGGTACCGGTGTAACCATAGACAATTCCTCCTACGAGCGAGAAAAGAATGATCTCTGCGATGGTGACAGCCCACAAAGCTTTGGGGAAGTCCTTTGGCTCCTTCATCTCGGCGATGAAAGAGGGCAATGTGATCTGCCCGATGAAAGTGTAGCTGATGTTCATGAACGCGTTCATGCCTGCAACGAAAGTTGTGCCGCTAGCTGGAACCGCGAGAACGACTGGAGCACCCTTCGACGGCCAACCATAACCTGGGTGATCTTCGATGGCCGCGAAGATAGCCGCGAGTAGCACCGAAATGAAGGTGAAGAATGCGGAGGCGCCTGCAAGCTTGGAGAGCGTGTCAAATGTCCTGGGCAAAGAGCTGAAAAAAGATACGATGGCGACGATAGCCGAGAAGACCACAGTGCAGAGTCCGCCGTTGGTCATGGTGTTGAGATATTTCGAACCGACCAAGCAATGGAAGCCTTGAATGAAAGTGTTGTTGAGCAGGAACATGCCAGCAGTGAAGTACCAGGCCCACTTCTTGCCCCAGAAAAGCATTTGGCCAATATCGCATACATCTTTCACTTCAGGGTGTCGCAGACAGAATTCCCTGTTTGAGGTTAGAGATTTCGCAGCAAGCTGAAGTTGATTCTTACCAGACTATGAAGGATGTGTACAGCACGAGCGCTGCTATCACAACCGTGAGAATGATCCCAGGTACCAGACCAAGCACAGAGTAGGAGTATGGAAAACTCATAATAGCCAGACAAATGTACTCTGAGAAGAGCAGTGCAGCAGTCTAGAAAACGGTCAGATCCGTTACAGACGCGCAGTGTCATAACAATTTTCGCAACAGGACTATCCAATGCCGCAGACTGGGCCCGACCGATGTCGAGCATACTCAGAATCTCATACCTTCTGCCAGGAACAGGTTCTGTACTGGATCTCATTGCCTTTTTCCAACTCCATCTGCTTCTCAACCGAGACAGTGTTATCATCGGAGTCGCTGTCGTTCATTTGACGACCACCGACGGATTCAGAGATCGACGTCGTGCGAGGCTTGTCGATTCTGCTCATCTTACGAGTCTCGGTCCCGGTCCCTCGTCTTGCGCCGCGCTCGGCAGCATCTTGCGATGATGAGAAGCCATGGTAGTAGCCAGCATCCCCGAACCCAGGCTTCTCTGCATCCAGCCCATGCGATGGATTTACAGCATTGTTGTTGCCTTTGAGAGTCTGGTCGCCGAGACCAAACTCCGGCGGGCCATCAAATACCATTGCTGCGGCTTAGGCTGGACTCGCTCCGCCAAAAGATCCAAGGAAGTGGAAGAAGATGTCGCGGAGAGAGATCAGGAGCATTAACCACAAGTCTTCGTCAGTAGTGATGCAGCTCTGGCAGCGAAGGGATGTGAAGGGGAACAGTGTTCAGCTAGAAGCCGTGCCAGGAATGCGATGGTAGAAGTGCACGTTGTGTACATCGCGCAATTCGGAGGGGCCGGTGCTAGTTCTACAGCAGCAGCCATGCGTGCGTGGTTCTGCTTGCCTTGCCTTGCCGTCAATCCAACCGTCCACGGCCGCCCCCGCCGTCCTTCTCTCTGTGTCCGCCTGGCACGCAGATTCGCTGAGGCCCGAAATGCGTGTCGAAGGATTGGCCTGCGGAGGGTGAGTGGCGCGCTCCTCCGACAGGCGAAACCTTATGCTTGCTTCTTCGAATCATACTGCATGGCGTGCTGGACGCGCCTGCACAAAACTTTGGCCGGTCGAGGTGTACATTCCGAGCGAGAATTTCGCTGATATCCAACTTGGAGCCTGTCCTCTTCGTAATCCAATCTGCACGTAATCCAAGCGATATTTGACAATATTCAATATTATTGAATATTGTCGATAGGATTACGGTGCGTGTACTATAGACAACGGCTATTCAATAGCCCCTTTCTAAGTGCAATCTTCTTAATCGAATATAGACCTCCGCGGCTTCCGGGGTAGCGCTTTTAGTACTAAATATAGCCTCCGAAGGGCTCTTCGATAGGATTAACGACTGTACGTTGCAATCGAGGTTAAGGGTAGTATATAGAACGAGAATAGCGCGAGTCGATATATAAAGTAAAAGATAGGCGTATTAGTCGGAGGGCTTCGTATAGTATAGGTTTCTCGGAAGTATATAGAAATCGAGCTTCTTACTATAATTGTTAGTAATAATAGATACTGTCGACCGCTAGCAGATCGTTAAGCGCAACGTTATCTTTACCTTCGGAATACTAGCGATACTACTATATTAAATAGCCGTTTCTTAGCTATCTAGAGTACGTACTTTATATCTAGACTACGACAAAGGCGAAGCCTTTACTATATCGTTATTAACCGAAGATGCCTCACGACAGTTGTATAGGTATATACGCTTCTATTTAGATGCATTTACGTACCTATTTTAGCTTATTAAACTATACCTAAAGCACGGTCGGTATATTAGTAAAGAATAGAAGATAGTAATATTCTTATATACCTTTGTAACTAATAGCTATACTCGAGACCTAGCCGAAGCCTTCTACTACTCGGTTAATAATTATAGACGCGTAATATAGGAGGTTATAGCCGCTATAATAGAGGTATATCTAGCAGTCGTTACTTAAGCTAGTATAGACGATAGTCTAGCGATTAAGGCGAAGGGTTAGAAATACTAGCCTTTCTTTAAGGACGCAGTTAGTACGCTAGACGGCTCTTATATACTAGTATACGTACTAGTTAACTAATAAGCGGCCTTCCGTAACCGTAAGGGCATACTATTATAGAATGTATTAGCGGTAGTAGACTATAATATAAGGTTTACCTTTATTCTTACTAGATAGGAGGGGTTAGCTTACGACGGCCGTATACTTAATAATGCTCGGTCTTATTATAGCTTTAGTACGCTAGAAGGACGATATTATCTCGCGGATACTAGCTATCTAAATAACGCGCTATATATAGTGCTATATAGGGGTATAAGGTATTATTTACGTAAGCAATTCCTATCGTCGATAAAGCTAGCGGATTATAAGGAGCTATTTAACCTACGCTATAGTTCTCTTCGTAACGTAGTAGAGCGCACATTCGGTATAATAAAGCGACGCTTTCGCATCTTCGAGAGTGCGTCGTAGTATAATATTCGCTCGCAAATAGCTATAGTATACGCTACTACTACCCTCTATAATATCCTCTAAGATATAGGTATAAAAGCGATAGATAACTTTAAACTAGAGGCTAACGAGACTAATAATAGGCTATTCGACGATGCCGCCGCCGCTACTAAAGAAGACAATAATATTAAAGGACCGATAGATAGGCTAAGAGATACTATTACGCTAGAAATGTAGCGACAATATTAGATATACTTAGCAGAGCGAGGTAATAAGGTAGGTAATAAGGTAGACGAGGCAGATTAACTACGTAAAGAAGTTATAGAACAGGCGGACGTTCGTTATATTCGATAGAAATGTTAAGAATCTTAGTCGTTACTTAGATATAGCTATTTTATATAGGGTTTCTCGTATCTATAGTGCAATGCTCGACTTCCTACTATTCTTAAAAAATCTATATAATATAACTTCTAGCCGAGAAACATAGTTTTATATTAGAATCTTAGATAGTGCTAAAACTATACTAAAATCTATCGATACAAAGATATTAAAAAAAAGCTATATTCGAGAATAGCTAACTAATCTAACCTATTAGTATTTTAGCTTAGGACAACGATTTAAACTCCTCTAAATACTTATTAACTAACGCTATCGGTATAGCCTACTACGCGTCTAGCGGTACGCTAAGGAAGATATTAACTATATCGCCGTCGTCTGTTGTCGTTATCTTACGACATAATAGACGCTTTTACCTTAAAGTTAGGTCCTAAAGCTCCTCGTATCTAGTAAAGGACGGAAACTAAAACCACTACTACTACTAGCAGTAATAGTATAAGCCACCGAGGGTAACATGACCTATAGCAATATAGGCAGCTATGTTTAGTATAATAGGATAACAAGACGGTTGCTTAGGCTAATAACTAGAGCCCTGCAATATAGGCATTGTAGAAGTGTAATATGAATAATATACTATACGAGGTTAGTGCTCTATCTATAATGTAGAAGGAGGCCTCTTATATAGGCTTAAAACTTAGCCTAGATATGTAGGGCCGGTTACTAGCCAATATCCCTCCCTTTCTTCGTATCTAATTAGATACGCTTTACATTGCGCGCTTAAAACAAACAGTTATACAGTAACCTTAGGCATCTTAGCTAAGGCTATCTTTTAGAGACTCCGCAATGATACCCCCGGGGTAACATTATTCCTAGATTCTATTAACATGCAAAAACAACTTCCTAAGCATCCAATCTACTACGCTAACTTACTGCTGCTTCAATGCACCGTAATCCTTACTAGTAATAACCTTATCTACTAGTCGGCTCTCGAAATCTCCTCTATATGCGTTAAAGCTATTAGTACCGAAGTACTATCCCTCGTAGAAAGCTTAATTAACGAGGAGGTTAACAGCCTTTTCCGTCGTAGCATTCTCCTAATTATATAGATATTCCTTAAGTCCCTCGTTATTGAGCTAGAGGATCTATTTAACTTCGTTCTAAACAACGTAACTTAACTAAGGAATCCTACTAACTAGAGCGTCGGAGATGTAGCCGAGGCCTTCGACTAAGATCGCCGTAGGGAAAGCGAATAGTACGAAGGAGTTAGAGGCCGGGAGGGCGGTTAGATTGCGGTGCGCTTTAGCAACCTAGGAGACTATTAAGTTCTCGTAACCCTCAACCTTAGTGCTATTAATAACGCGAGAGTAGCCTAGGTTAATTAATATACGGTTGCTCTTAGTCTTTAGATTACTATATAGTAGGTATAGTATCTAAATAGAGACCTCGCACTCCTTTAGAGGGTTAAGGATCTACTCCGCTTTACGCCTCTTACTATTAGGCTAACTATCGAATATACGGTCGAGGTCGTCGCCGGTAAGGTGCTTATTAGTAAGCTTACCGATCTTACTTAGCGGGACTAGGCTACGAGCCTTAAGCTTCTTAACCTAGTTCGTAAAGACCTCGGGCTAATATATACCTTCGACAATAGTAGAATAGCTAGTCTTATCCTTAGACATAAGACAGACCTTAATACGTAGGTAACTAGTACCCTCGCTAGCTGCGAGCTTAACTACATCTTATCCGAGACGAGCAGACTCCTTAGAAGGACAGTTTTCGTAAGTACCGCCAACCTTAAAGAACTTAGTAGGCTTAGGGACGGAGATAAGCTCGTATACGTAATTAGGTCGAAGGGCGACAGCTAAGAGCTATAGGGTAGGGTGCTAGCGGACGATTTGGTTGCTTATACTATAAGTTTAAAGGGCATTACGGCCTTCTTGTTTAGACTTAGGCATGTTACGTATATACTAAAGGTATATCTTAAACTCTTCCTATATTAGGTCGATAAGGAAAGGAAGATATACTCTACGAGGCTCTTATAACTAACTAAAGACTTAAGGGAAGATAGTATTACTAGTCTAGCGAAAGCGATCGAAGGAGGTGCCTTAGCTAAGAATGCCGGTAACGAACTTGCTCTAGCGATCCGTTAGCGTAAGGGCGCGAGTAATAGTACTAGTAGGGTTGAACGCGTAGAGTCCTAGAGATGTCGGGGCGGCAATAGGGCGTTTAGGAAACTAGTTAGTATAGGCCTAATTAGCCTTAAGGGCAGCGAAGGCGTCTTAATTAGGAACCTCGCGACTAATCTTTAATAGGCGATCGACGAGGATACTCGCCTTAGCACTAGTATAGAGACTATAGACCTTAGCGGCCTTCTTAATATAGTTAGTACACATAGAGAACGGCTCTTCTCCTAGCTTACTAAGGTCGTCGAGCTGTTAATAGATAGAGAGGGTAGTAGGAGCTTCGCCTATTGCGGCTTTAAGAACTATATCGATGTCGGTAATAAGGTGCGCGATAGAGTCGCCCTTATAAGAACTACAAATGTTCTTAGTTAATAGGATCGGCGAGAGGCCTCTATTTCTACGCTCGCTAAAGGAGCCTTCGGAGGAGACATCTTCTAGTAGTGCATCTAGTATATTAATATCCGAGTTACTATAGTTAGTACTATAGTTAGTACTATAGTCGGTACTAGAAGGAGCGCTATACTTCTTAGTAGCCTTGCGGAGGGCCTAGCGAGTATGCAATGCCTTCTTACGCGCTGCTTCGGCCTTAGCGCGCTCGTCTTAAACTTCTTAAGGGACCTTACGGTTACAGGTCGAGCGACGATCCTTAGCCTACATCTCCGTAGCGAGCGCGAGACTAGTAGCCGTGTCGGCCTCCGTTTCTAGGCGAAGAGCCTTGCGTTTAAGAACATTAACGATAGGCGCCTCTTAACCTTTAATAATGAAGCCTATACTATTAATACGATAGCCCTTCTCTTTTAGTAGATCCTTAGTTGTCTATACGTTAAGATCGACCTAGATAATCGCATCGTAGTGCTTCTTCTAGTAGGCTGTCGTAAAGTCGTTAAGCGTAAAGGATAAGTTAAGCAACTGCTTGCCTACCTTCTTGCTAGCGGTAGATATACG